TCATGTCATTTGGTAGTTCAGATTTCTTTCCTAGGTAGCGCTTGGTGTTTAAATCTAAACTAAAATTACAGCAACCAATATTTTTGGCAATTTTGCGAAAAAATTATTCGTATTATTAATAAAGATATTAATATGTAATTAATATTATTAGTATTATTAATTAAACGTATCGTTTCAAGAACAAAATATGATTGACTCAATAGATTGAAATGTCAATTGTAATTTCAGATTTCTTTCCTAGGTTACGTAGTTACCCTACCGGACAAACAGTGTGACTTATTGTCCTAGCCTTTTATATAGATATAATGTCATTAGTTTGTTTTTCTTGTATACAAGCAGCTTGTTCTTCTTCATTTTTTTTCTACCATCAGCCTCTGTTCTTATATAAATTATGAAGTTCAGGGAATAAAGGGGTGTTAACTAAACTTCTTGTTCTTCTTTACTTTTCAAACTACGGTTGATGTTTTACATTTTATTGAGTAAACTAAACAATATTTAATAAGTAACTCAGATGGGCTTAAAAAGTCTCTTACTACATTACACTGGCAGCAATCTCTACATCTATCCGCTAATTGAATTCTGTTCCATCTTCTTCTTCTTCTTCGTCTAGCCATTCACGTCCACATCTGAACATAAGCCTCTTCAAGTCTTCCTTTCCATTGGTTTTTATTGTACGCTACTTGTAGCCAATTTTTCCCGGCAGTCCTTTTCAGATCATCTGTCCATCTCATAGGAGGTATGCCTCTGGGTCTTTTGTGTTGGTATGGTCTCCAGGTTAAAATTGATCTGTGCCATTTGTTTAGATCGCTCCTAGCTACATGTCCAGCGTATTCCCTTTTCAGCTTTAATGCTTTTTGCACCACATCGGTGACTTTGGTTTTCTGTCTTATCCATGTGTTTGTTTTCTTGTCCTTAAGTGATATACCTAGCAGTGCTCTTTCCATCGCGTGTTGGAACATTATGTGTTATTACAAAATATGGAACATTCTGTTCCATATTTTATAATATTTGTTAAACATGGACTTGGCACTCTAAACACGGCCATGTTTGTATCTTAGTTCGTTCTGTTTAAATAATAATTCACTAATATTTTAGCTAAGAAACACGTTTACAACCTTGATCTACTTTCGTGTTCCTATGTAGGTAAATATATCAATTAAATCTATTAAGCTATTCTTACACTTACATTAATGAGAGTAAGGGTTGGTTTTCCATTCTCTACAAATTTTGGATGTAAGTGCAGATGAGTATATTACTTAGTAATTCTTCTTCTTCTTAGCCTTCTGTCGTCCATGTTTGGACATAGGCCTCTCCAAACACCTTCCATCGGTCTCTATCCTGAGCAACATATTTCCAATTTGTTCCGGTTATTCTTTTAATGTCATCAACCCATCTCATCTGTGGTCTTCCTCTTGGTCGTTTACTTTCGTAAGGTCTCCAATGTTGTATTGTAGCATTCCAACGTTGGTCTTTCTAACTAGCAGTGTGGCCCGCGAAGCTCCATTTAAGTTTTGCAATTTTTATTGTTATGTCCTCGATTTTGTTTTGGATCTTACCCAGTCGTTCCTCTTTTTATCTGACAGTCGTATACCTAACATTGCTCTTTCCATTGTTCTTTCTGTTGTGGCTAGTTTATTCATGTTTGCCTTGGTTAGGGTCCAGGTTTGACATCCATATGTTATGATAGGAAGGATGCATTAGTTGAACACTTTGCTCCTCAAGTATTGGGGTATTTTGCGGTTCTTAAGTATCCAACTAAGTTTTCCAAATCCTGCCCATGCTAGTCTTGCTCTTCTAGTAATTTCCGCACTTTGGTTCTCTTTATCAAGTCTCAGGATTTTTCCTAGGTAGATATATTCCTGGATTTGTTCTATCTCGCTGCCGTTTATAGTTATATGTCTGGGGTCTTTTGTGTTTATTATTTTTGTTTTTTTTCATATTCATTTTTAGGCCGACGTATTGGGAGCTGGCTGCTAGTTCCCCCAACATAATTTGCAGTTCCTCGAATGTGCTCGCTATAATCACTATGTCGTCAGCGAATCTGAGGTGGTTTAACTTGTTGCCATTAACGTTAATGTCATAGGTTGACCAATTTGTAGTTTTGAAGACGTCTTCTAGGGCTAGGTTGAAAAGCTTTGGCGATATTACGTCTCCTTGTCTCACTCCTCTCTTAATGGGGATGGGATTTGTATTTTCGTCTAGTTGTACTATCATAGTTGCATTTTCATATATATTATGTATTAGTTACCTATATCTCGAGTCTATTCTACAATTATTAATAGCTTGTTCTATGACCCACATCTCAATACTATCAAACGCCTTTTCATAGTCGACGAAGGCAAGAAATACGGGTAGTTGGTATTCATTTGCCTTCTCTATCAATGTTCTCATTGTCAACAGATGGTCTGATGTACTATATCCTTTGCGGAAGCCAGCCTGTTCAACTGGTTGGTAAATATCCATTTTGTAGGTTAACCGGTTATTAATAATTCTTATAAATAGTTTGTATACTTGACTGAGCAACGATATAGGTCTATAATTTTGTAGATCACATTTGTCCCCTTTTTTGTGTAAGAGTATTACTAGACGCTCGTTCCAGTCTTTAGGAATCTGGCTATTATGGAGACATCTATTAAATAGCTCTGTTAGTACAGGGATTGTTAACGTCTTGCTTGTTTTCAAGAGCTCGTCAATTATACCGTCGTGTCCTGGAGCTTTATTATTTTTTAGTTCTTTTAAAGCTCTTTCTATTTCGTATCCCTTTATATTTGGTAGTACTTCTGATCTCACGTTTTTTATTTTTCTTTTGACGTTCTCCTTTGTTGTTGACGTACTTAGTAATTACAGCATTGATATTGATACCCCTTTTGATGTATGAAGGTAATAAACTTGTTTTCAAATTCCACTGGAATCTGCATGGTTTACCATACTTTGCGATATAATTCCACCAACTATTATTTTCCGTCTTCTCCTAGCCACTTTCTGATTCTATCCAATAAGCACTGTAAACCTTTCCTATTTTAATACTTTTTTAGCACATTGACTTCCTTTATGTTTATCCCTTTAGGTTTTGGGTCATCTTCTTCGTTCCTTCTTTCTTCAGTTATTGTTTGTTAAATTTAATTTATTTTCTTAAAAATTGATAGGTTAGGTTAGGTTAAGGTTACAAATTCATTTGTATTACCCATGAATATGATTGTCTTTATTTTTTCCTTTTGCTTCCATTCATAGATTTTATAGTACAGACAAAGGTACAGAGGTCGCCAATTATATTCCCTGAGGGTCCGTTTCGAAAACGGTCTAGACACTCAGCACTAAATCAGGCAGTGGCGTAACCGGGAAGGGGGTTAACCAGAAACCTTCCAGTAGTTGTAACCCTCCCCCCTCAGGAGATCGTACTGGTTATTTAGTTGAAACCAGGCAACTAGACCATCTCGTTTAGAAAGGGGTATGAAATAAACTTAGGGAAAAAGATGATTATAAAGCTATTAAATTGTTTTCTCTCCGTCTTTGTTTAATAAATTGTTGTGGCGTTATTTGAAATATTTGTATCTTAGGACTTTATTTTAATTATTTAATGCTACTATTTCTGATTGTTTTCTTTCTGCAACTATAGTGTTCAACAATTTTATGGAACATATCTAAAAATCTATTTAAACGTTTAAATGTTAGTAACGGCTTACCTTAAATAGCGTTTGTTTAGTTTAGAACTGCAGTTCTGTACATTTTACGACGAATAAAAAAACTATATAAGTATCGAAAAGCAAACTAACATCTCATTGTTTTTTTGGCCACTGTACAGTTGAATACTTTCCTGGTACAGTAAATTAAATATAAATTGTGTATTTTTTTAATATTATTGTACCGTTTTTAAATAAAACGAGCGGTTCGAATTTATATAAATATATTTATTTATAACTTTACAGTTCGGTACTATCTTATCAACTAAACTTAACTCCTAATTTCGTTACCTATATATACCAAAGTTACTATGTTCGAGAATATTCAGGAGTAGTCCCATCTCTAATTCGTTATCTGACGACGGGTGGAATTTTACAGCGCTCGATATATGGCCTATGGCCGGTAACTTCTCGATCCTTCGAGATGCATCCGTTACATGGCCATGCCGAAAGCATGTTCGTAACACTGCTCCCCTCTTAGATCTGAGCGTCCCGATCAACAACTCTATATATAGGCCCAGGATGGCGGAATCTACAGGACTCTCCAGCTCTGCATGAACCCCTCAGAAAGAAATAACAGTCTACTGTCTTTGAAGGACACGATCTCTTCGGATTAATGCAACACACAGTAATTCTTACACCGGTTTCTCGGAAGATCACTTCAAGCATGCTTCTGACAATCTTCCAATCCAGATTATCTAGTGCATGGCCTATCTTGGGTAAAGCCAAGTGAATCATACGATCACAGATTAACTATTGTAAGTGATAATATTTCTTATTTAAAGCAGAGAGCAAATAAATGATAATTGTATTATATATTTAACAATTTAAAAGTACACTGGTAATAATTAAAAAATACATTTCTATTGAGTAAGAAGTACTTGTTTAAATACACACAAAAAGAACCATCGCTTAATGGAAATACACCAAAGTCGAAGGATAATCCGAAGTAATTTAACCTAATTACTTGTACCCAGCCGATATACTTATTTGGCTATACTTGGACGGCTACAGAGGATTCCTGCCCGTTTCCATATATTTTTTATGTTATTTTATAATATTTTTATTTTATTATTTTTGTTATATTTGTTATTTTTGTTTATAACTTTTTTATACGGTAAAAAGTAATACAAATAAAATTGTATAATATTTAATTTGCTACAAATAATGTCTGTTAAAGTTTTCTGTAGAGTTGCATTTTTTTCCCATCCTTTTTAAAAAGTTTGAAAGAGGGTTGCAAAACTGCAACCATTTTCAATGGACTAATTAATGTGTGAAATAAGTTTGGTGTGCATTTTTAATATACCAATACTCTCTTACCTCCAATAATTAGGCAAACATCTCCCATCTCCACAAACAAGGAATGTAGGGGGGCAGGTGTGGGCAACGCTTGGGCAAGTCATGTTGGCAAATGGTTCTATGTGTCCTGGACACATACATTTGCCGTTCTCCATTGTTAATCCATCAGGACAAAGACATGCTTCTCGGTGCTTGGGTAATCCGACGCAAATATATGAACATGTTGTATTGGTACAGGCATTTGTGCCTATTTGGATTCCATGTGCAAATACCTTAAGATCCATAAGTCCTACTCTCTCTTTTAATAATACTTGAACGTCCTTAAAAGTGTCCTTATCTGAACTGAAGATAGAGTTTAGCTGCCAGTCGTCCCAGTACATATTACTTTTAAAGACAGCTATGGCGAATGGATGAGAAACTACGTCGGAATTTGAAATCACTTTTACGAAACCATCACCATGTAAATCTGAGCTACCTAAAGCAAAATATAAAATAAAATTTATCAAGCTCTTAAAAACTTTAAGAAAGGCCAAATTTTATATTTTTTTATCAACAAAATTTTTATAAAACCATTATATAAAATTTATACAGCATTATTATACTTTTGTAATATAGGTATAATTCATTTCACCGATCTTGTCCTCAAAGTGTAATTATATTCGATGCACGTTAGACATCTATGTCAAATAAATGCAATTTTTAAACGTAGACGTATGTTTTATATACATGATACCATGATGGCATTACGGCAGCTTATAAAAGAAATATGGACACAGAAATCCCTCCCCAATGAACGAAAAACGGCATACGAGAGGGGTGTGTAGCATTAAAAAAATCAGCTACAAAAATAGGTTTAATAAGCACCAACAAAACGAAGTATATGAAAATAAGCAGGCAACCACAAATCCTACGACCACTTGTTATAGAAAACGACTTTACACGGCCAACAGATAATATTTTTGCAGCATTTTAAAATTCCTTGGTATATATTGAAATCTCAATGTACTTCAGTTTCCAGCATACAATAGTTGGTGACATAAAAACAAAACAGTTAATATGGTACGGCCATGTACAGAGAATGCCAGATGACAGGATTCAAAAACAGATTTTGACGTGGACACCACAAGGGAGAAGGAAAATAGGAAGACCAAGAAGAAGCTGGAGAGAGGGAATTGAAAAAGAACTAGAGGTAAGAGAAATCCCTCCAGGCCTATGGTTGAATTGAGAAGAATGGCGGTTAGGAGTCGGAAAGCGTCAGAGAACGCTGTAAACCGATAGTAGTAGTAGTATTTCAGTTTGCGTCGCCGAGTTGATATGAACACGTTTTAAAAGGTTGTTTATGTTTCACAGATATGTATTTTCTCGGCATTCTTTTGATCGAAGCCACTTTTAGGATATTTTGCGTTCCCGTTCTCGTAAAAGTATTATGTTTATACTAAGTTAAGCGAATGATTTTTAAGAATTAACTCACTCTTGCAGGAGCAACTGTCAAAAGCAGTTGGTGTCCGTGTTAGTCCAAATTTTCTTCAGATTCGTAAATTTTTTCTTAATTGTTTCTTTTGTTATGGAAAATAAGTAATTTTGTGTCAGTTAATTGTGCAGTAGGTGTAGTTACAGTTTTAAGTTACAAGGTTAAAAACCTTAACGAGACTGAGTAGAGCTATTTGGTTAGTCGGAGAAGAACCGACAAATTTGTCGAAGAAAAAGTGATTATACTCAAAGTAATGTGTCTGTTAAAGTGAGAATAATTACTATTTTTTGTTGTATGCCGTATCTGATCTGAGATATTTGTAAAACGGCGTGTACAACAAATTTGAAATATAACCATTTGGTTCTAGTTTTGTAAGAAGCCAAGTCGTTAAGTGTCGCTTCAACCTCGCTTTTTTTTGTCCCTGGTCATCGTTCTAGGCGATAGATGCAGTCCTTTTGTTCGTGTATCAGAGATTCACGGTCCGGTTCCTACCCTCAGAAATTTTAGTAAGTCTAGTTTACAACTCAAGTGTATTTTAGTGAAATCCAGGTAACTTTTATGTTTGAACTTTTCAAGTTAAGATATATATTTTTTCCTTTAATAATAATAATGGGCATTAAAATAAACTAAACCAGGACCAAATTTTTGGTGTTTAGTCGTGACCCACATCCCGATGCAAAGCTTCAATTGAACGGAGTCCAAGTTGAGAGAGTTCACAAAATGACATATTTAGGAACTGTGATAATGGACCAACTAGATCCAGACATAGAAATAAGACGTAGAATAGCAATGACTAAAATTACTTTTATAAAAATGAAGTCATTTCTTTGCAATAACCATCTCAGTTTAGAACTAAGGCAAAGAATGGTTAAGTGCTATGTTTGGTCTGTACTTTTGTATAGTGCAGAAGTGTGGACGCTAAAAGTATCGATCATGAACAAAATTGAAGCATTGGAAATGTGGGTTTATAGACGAATGCTGAAAATACCTTGGACAGCAAGAAAAACTAAAGAAGAAGTACTAAGGAGCGTCAACAAAGACAGAGAACTGCTAAAGACTGTTAAATATCGAAAAATGTCTTATCTGGGATATATAGTAAGGGGAAGTCGATATAAAATTTTACAATTGATCCCTAAAGGCAAAATAGAGGGCCGTAGAGGTGTAGGAAGAAAACAAGTTTCTTGGTTAAAAAAACATTCGTGAATGTACTCAGATACCAAATGCAGGACAATTATTCCATATTGCAGAAGATCGAGAAGCCTTCGCAATGGTGATCGTAAAAGTCGGATAAATCTGATATAGCACGCGAAGAAGAAGAAGGTAGGCAAAATAGTTCGCAAATTTTGGGCTCGATCTCCTCCTTAGATAGGACGTCTGAGGTGGATAGGGCATTTAATGTGAATGGAACAAAATAACCCACCTAGAAAAATGCTTCCTGATAGCACTGGTCAAAGAAGAAGAGGAAGACTTAGAACAAGGTTTCTTGATAACATCGATGAAGACATGAGAAATATGGGAATACATGCTTGGCGAAGGAAGGCGATGGATAGGCAATACTGAAGAGAAATTCTTGAGGAGACTAGGACCCACGCAGGTCCTTCTGAAGCCGATTAATATTAATATGGTCCAAAATGAAAAAATCTGGAACAAATGAAAAAATGATATCTTTACAGCGAAATGATCATGATCAAAATAAACTACTACATTTAAGATGTATTACTTACCTATGTAATCTAATCTGGCATCTACCCAGTATAATCTATTGGCGAAATAATCGATTGTAATACCATTAGGCCACTCAACTTTATCTCTTCCGAAAAGAGTCATATAGCTGCTTCCGTCCAAATTAGCTCGATTCACTGAAGGATTTTCGGCGGACCAATCCGTCCAAAACATGTATCCATGGCTGGGATGTAAAGCAATACCTCTCGGTTTATGCAATACCGTTGAATTCAAAATAGTTCTCCTCATTATTCCGCTTTGATTTATATTCGTTTTAATAAGTTCAATTTTGGCACCAAGACCATCAACGAAATACAAAGTTTTGGATAACCAGTCCAAAGCCATACCTTCGATTGATGATTTATCGTTAAATACTAAAATTTCTGTATCATTTCCGAAACATTGTCGTTTAATAGTCTTATCGGCCATATCTGCCCAGTAAACGCAATTGTTTGCCATGTCAAAATCTATTGCGATTACATTCTTCAAGTTTGGCACCGATAAATGTTCTAAATTCTTACTGATTAAGTTATATCTGGAAATGTTTTTCCTTTGAGCAAATAAAAGAAAATCATCCACTTCCTGAAAGGGACAAGGAACGATGTCTGGAAGATAGTCAGATTCAAAACCGCCTACACAACTATTTTCGGTTTTTTTATGGTAGCCTTTGGTACGGTTGTAAAAGCTGCCTGGCTTGCAGTGAGTTGGAACTTTGTATACATCCAATGATGTGTCAGATTTGTCTTGAATGCAGCGTGGTGGGGAACCAACTTTTACAAATCCATAACGACTAAAATGTTGTATAAATAAATCAAACAAACTATATAACGTTTATAACTAAAAATAAATAGAATATACAGAATGATATTGAAAGAAAAAGGATTGAAAGTCGACGCATACATAATTTTATTATTCTACCTATGTGATGTCGTAGACTTCTGCAAATATGCAAAAAAGTGAAAAATATGCGCATAAATATAATAGGCACTAATTTATCCAAAAATATGCATTTCTTTTAGAAAGTACGCATACTGTCAATGGAAACATATACTTCATCTAATTTACTTACCGTTGCACGTCATTATTATTGACACAGATCGAAGTTGACATAGCTGCCAAAGTTAAAAGAATCTATTTTAAATCAAATAGGTTCCATAATTATTGCAAAAGTGGATTATACAACAAAACAAATCAATATTACACACACTAATAATAATAATAATTATACAATCAGCTCCAGCCCAACAAGAACAACAACCACAAGCAAGACAAACAACAACAAGAATTCCACTCGCTGAAGGTGCTGTGCTGGAACATCAGCCGGCGCTCACTCAAGCGGGACGCTCGAGGCAGCGTATGAAATGGACTATGAATGAAAATATTTTGCGCTTGTATTATAAGGTGACAAACCTCGGTCAAGAAACGATCGGCTATCGACAAAATCTGTATGCCGAATTTGCAGAAGATAAAATGCAAGTATCTGAACAACGAGTAGCAGATCAATACCGGGTAATTATCAGAAATAATCTCATCCCGGAGACTAGACACAATACCATCAGAAGCGAAGTCTAACGAGAGATTCATAATCAGGAGGTAGTTGGAAATCAAGCCCTTAATGAAATACAAGAGCCAATTCCTGAGTTTGTCATACAAGAACAAGAAACTCAACCTGATAATACACAGCAGGATAACGAGTGGCGGTATAGCCTAGTTAACGAAATAGCACGCGCCGTACAAGAGTTTAATGAAACAAACCCACTTAGCAGACCACCGCTACCAAGAGTAAACTCTTATAAGAAACTAGGTGTGCTGTTACAAATTGTGAACACTAAAGTCCTGCCCAATTATGTCGTAGAAGTCCATACTTTGGAATATATGCACACGCTGATTTACTGTGCAGCAACAGCAATTGCTAATGTTATGGGCATTAAGACCAGAACACGACGGGGTACTGATATCGGAAGGACAGATAACAGAGTGGCACCTTGGGAAAAATTCTAACGAAAATTGAATCATTACGTAGAGACATTGGTCAAATCACGGAATATATTCGAGGAACAAGTAGAAAAGTAATCAGAAGAGCTGAAGAAATAATGCTAACTAGCGCAAGACACTCACAATATAATCCAAAAAGCAACACAGCACAACAGTGCCTGGATACAAAAACTTTCCGTTTACTCAGGCCAACTAAGGAGATACAAAATTAGTAACAAAGGAAAATCCGACAATATGCTTTTTAAAAATGCCGAGAAGGCGTTCTCGGAAACTCAATTCTACTGCAAAAAGTGTCAATAAATCTTACCCAAGTCGAGAAGAAATCCATGAGTTTTGGGGAAATCAACTTTCCACGCCAGCTGCTCTTAACACCAATGCTGGATGTCCCTCTTAACACCAAAGTACTTTAGAAATAGCAAACCTGCCCTCACGAGCTCATGGTTTCACCATGCCTTCCCCCCCCCAGGACAAACAGGAAGAATAGAACAAAATTGTTGGATGAAGTGAATTATTGAATGGAGACCTCAATCAAACCAGATGGACTGATGACATCAAGCTAATGGCTGGTACGAATCAATGCAAAAAACAACTAACAAATGAATGGACACACCTAAGGGAGGCATACATCAGAGGATGGATGAAATATTTGTTCATGATGATGACCTTTTTTTTTTTTGGGGAACCATATCACGACCCATAAAATTCCGATCTTCACCTTTTTTTTCTCCCCATTCTACGCAACAAGAATATGAAGAAAACCAGACGCAAAACATCCGAAAGTTAAAGTAGAAGCTTATATACAGATTGAACGAAATAAATTCGGAACATACGAAATATTATGTATTTCGGCTCAATTTTGCTGTAGGTGGTTGGCCAACAAAAGGTTGTCAAATAATTATATTATAAAAATCCAATACATCATCGGGCTGCTGGATTCTGAAATCATAAAAATTGAAAGCTACACATAAATCTACGATTTTATTATGCTGTCAAACCAGTTATCGCTTCTTTAGACAAGCCCTTCTGTGAGCGGTGTTGCCAACGTCATTCCTTTAAATGTTTCTCAAATAAAGTGTTATCCATAAAATATTTACAAGAAAAAAAGAAAATAACTACAAACCATTAAGTTTATTTTTGTTATTAGTCTGTTGTAGTAGATTGGTAAATACAATGAAAAATATAGGCAAATATCCGATTTATTTAAAGATACGAAGAAGATAAACTCTCAAAAAGATCCGCAAATCGGATTATTACACGGCGATTGGCAACATTGTTACGCAAACAACATTGTTGCGAAACAGATAGTTGAACGATATTTTATACAATGTGTAAACCCAGGTATGGATTTATTTTTGTCCAAGTTTTATATTGGTCCACTATTTCAAATGCAGTTCAAATAGACATATATTAAATTGTATGATCCGTTTTAAATTCGTTCAATCTGTATAAGTGAAGTCACATGGCCGCTAACAATGCTCATGGGACACTCTGCGAAATCTCATTGAGTATGAGCCTTGTTCCCATACGCGGGGATTTACAGGAATCGACCAACGGTCTTCAGCTACTCGTGAGAATCAATACGAATACTCACCAACATGCAAGGTAAGCACGGTGTTTAAATACCAAAAACCAGACTATTAGAAACCAACTCAACTCAAGGTGCGCCAAAAAGATCATTTTTTAGAAAGATTAGATCTTGCAGTAGAATGGATAAAAAACCGAGCTCAGATTTAAAAAAAGCATTCTGAGATAGCAAACTAAAAGATGAATATATAATACAAAAATATAAGTAGCATATACAATTGAAGTTGCAAAAAAGAAGAATTAGTGACAGAAATAGAAACAAAGTAAGAAAGAAAAAAGAGTTATCACAACAAAAGTATTCATATGAGATTAAGCTAAGAAATACTGAACAAATAGCAGAATTAAGTTCTCCATTCAACAATACATGATAATTTCAACCATGTTATACCATCCATCAATTAATAGAGTACCGGCATGTAAGTAATGTTTTTTATTTGCTCATTTATTAATTTATTACAATCTAATAGACTTTTTTATAACAATTTGTGGGTCTTACCTTGTCTGTTTAAACTTTTAAAACTTTGTATACCTTTTTATTCATTTTACTCATTTTGAAAAAACCACAGACATGTAATATTGGCATAATTATTGTAATTTATAACATCTTATTTGTTTATCTTTTTTAGACAACACCCTAATATGGGTTTTTATCATTTCAACATTTATGTAACTTTGTATCGAGACCTGAAGATGCTTTGCATATTGTAGAAAGCGAAACCGGTCGTGTGATAGTTAAATTAAATTGATTGTAAGTCTTATTTATTATTTCTTTACCTAAATACTGAACAGTTATTATAAAGCTAATTCCTGATAAATTATATAAAGATTATTTTATACATTATAAGCTTACCAGTCAAAATCAAGCCAATCACATTCACATACCACTGTAGATTTTGGTTGTATGTAATCCAAGCCGTTTAGACAATTTGCCAATGGCATTCTTCTTTGGTAGACTACTTGCAATCCCATTTCACATGGAATATAATTTCGAATGCCTTCACTGTGACTAGGAGACGGAGACCACATCTTGTAATCATCTTTCGTACATTTACGTTTAAATACTTTGGTGAAGTCAACTTTAACGATAATCCATTGGTGGTGTTCTGGTAAAGATCCAAACATCGTGAAAACAGTAGTATTTTCTCCTGGTTCTGTCATTAAACCGTATATTCTTACTTCTTGATTATGGAATTCGGTTTGATTCCAACTTCGACCTTCATCTATAGAATATTTAATGTGGCGAGTTTTTCCTTTTGTTTTATAGTATTCATAGTATTTAACAGCGGATAGAATACCTCCATGGTCTCCCATATTATAAAAGTATAATTCTCTTAATGTTTGACGCCATGTTACTCCACCGTCCAAGCTTATATATACTGCATATTGACTTTTCAGATTATTTCCTAAGACACCTGAAATTTAATTATAATTATCAATCAACAATATAAATACTTTCAACTGTAGATTGCTAATCGATTTTTAAATGAAATTGTAATTCGTTAGTAGTTGAAACTCGTTTCTTAAAAGTTTCTGCTTCCTTTAAAACACAAATTTATTTTATATCTATACTATTTGGTGGTTTTACAGGGAATTCAAAAATGATATGGCAAACACTTCAAAATACGACTGGTTCAGGGTCGTGTCTTAAATATCTGCCAATGGTGCATTTAAAAAACAAATCAATTTATTAAATTATGATACATATTGAAAAGTGAGTTTTTCTTAACCCATTTGGTCCCACTGTACTCGTCTAAGTACAGCAGCAAAAATGGCCTAGTAGTGACACATGTGGTAAAAAAGTGGTACTCCACGTGTATGTCCGATTGTATTAGAAAGTGTTCTACTAGATTTTCACAAATTTTACCCTAGGTGGCGCTCTTCTTCCTAATTTTTGCCGTAGTAATTATAAGCTAACCTCCATATTTCTGTTGGATCATTGAAGTGTTTATTTTGTGATTTTTGATACTATTTATCATTTTTTTAACTTTTATTGTGAGGGTAAGTCTTAGTAATGTTTGTTTATTTATTCAGTATAATTTTTTTTATTATTGTTGTTTTTGTGTTACAAAATAGACTTGTACTCATCTGAGTACAGAGGGTTTGTATGAGATCAAAATGCTTATTTGGTTTTTTATTGTTTTAGGTTCAATATTGGTATTGAAATTAATTTTTAAGAATTGTCGCCTATTAGTTCCTTTGGGTTTTACGGAAAACGTTATAGAACTCTTGCTTTAGCTTCAGATGACCTAGTGAGTTCCACTTATAAAGATGTATCGGTGGTAGTTATTCCCCTCGAGACTGACTATCAAACTGACAATGAGTACATAGATGAGGACAAACTTCAGACTCAAAGCTTTCCGAATGACGTTCTCGGAGAAATAGAGGTTCATTGCATGAGTGATGACTCTGATAACGAAGAAGAAGACAATATTCCTCTTGCCATTAGAAGAGAAAATTTACTGAAGGGCCAAAATAAGACCAAGAAATCTGACTGGACTGAAGAAGTTACTGATATTAGTATGACATCTACAACAGGATACGAGGGTCGTCTGGATAATATGAAAGAACAAATCCGAGGTAAATCTCCTATAGAAATATTTGAGAAATTTTTCGACAATAAAATTATTGAATATATTACATAGCAGACAAATTTATATGCCGGTCAAAATAATAATCATCAATTTCATGTAACGCAGGAAGAGATAAAGATATTTCTGGCTATTTTACTTTTTATTAGATACCATAGATTGTCACAATTGTTGATTGTAGTTTAGATGAGGATCTTCAGGTTCCCCTCGTGACTAATGGAATTTCAAGGTACCGTTTCCAAGATATTAAAAAATACCTACATTTGACAGATAATTCGCAAATTGATACAAGGGACAGAATTTATAAAGTGAGGCCTCTCATGAACAAACTAAATACCAAATTTCAACAATTTGGTATATTTCACAAATACTTATCAATTAATGAAACAATGATAAAATATTTTGGGCATCACTCATCTAAACAGTTCATAAGGGGAAAGCCAGTAAGATTTGAGTACAAGGACTGGATGCTTGGTAGTTCAACTGGTTCTTGCTACAATTTTGACACTTATTGTGGAGCATCAGTATATAAATCAAAAGTTTCGGCATTGGCTTTAGGATCACAAGTTGTTCTAAAAATGCTTGATATCGTTGATGTGCCTACTGACCTCGAAGTAATTTTTGACAATTACTTTACTAGTTATAATTTGATGGAAACTTTAAAAGAGAAGGACTTTAGGGCAATAGGAACAGCAAGAGAAAATCGTATAAAAAAATGTCCCTTGTTACCTTCCGCTGTAATGAAAAAGAAGTCTACTATTTTTTCTAAAATGGAATGGAAAGACAACAATGTGGTCACAAAGAAGAATGAACCATGAAATAAGAGACATAATGAAGGAGAAGATATAGTTGACTGATTAGTTATAAAACGACCTGCTGATTAAGGTCACCAGTTCGAAGCCAGAAACTTAAAGATCGAAGGGAAGGATAAAGAGAAAGATGTGCGGATCAGGCCATAAAAAACATTAAAATGCTAAATGTGAGAAATTGGAGGGTCCCATGTGTAGATTGAAATAAGTTTAAATTGAAAATTGTAACGAAAGCTAGATCATCCAACAAACTTTGACAATTATGTAACAAGATTGTGGAGTGATTTACTGCGATAAGTGAATAAAAAAACTCTAAGTAAGAGCCGCAATCTCTCCAGTTTTGCTACCTTGCTACTGCTCATTGTTTCGAACTAATAATTTTACTGTTAGCTACAACTTTTCTGATACAATATATCACCATCTCACCATCTCAAACTTTTATTATCTTCTTCTTAAGGTGCCTTCTCCATTACTGAAGGTTGGCTATAACTACAGCAAATTGCTCTCTATCTTGAGCTGTTCTTAGTATCGCATGTGTGTCCATGCCTGTCCAGTCTCTTATGTTCTTCAACCAGGAGCATTTTCTTCTTCCTGGACCTCTTCTTCCTTCCACTTTCCCTTCCATTATAAGTCGTAGGAAGTTGTATTTTTCTCCTCTGTAGATATGTCCTAAATAACTCGTTTTTCGGTTTTTTACAATATTTAGGAGTTCTCTGTCAGTACCCATTCTTCTTAGCACCTCGTTGTTGGTCACGTGCTCTGTCCAAGAGATCTTCAGCATTCTTCGAAAAACCCACATCTCAAAGGCTTCTATACGCCTCATACTTGTAATTCCGAGAGTCCATGTTTCCACTCCGTATAGCAATATGGAATAAATAAACGTTTTTACAAATTGGTATCGGATGTCCAACGATAACGTAGAGTTTATTAGAAATTTTTTCATTCGCTGAAAATCTACTATGAGAAATATGTAATAGATTATTAAACATTTATAAATATCAATAATTACATATCTACCTGTGGCCATAATAAATCCAGGTGCTGATTTACTTGAAAATATTCCCACTGATTTAGTATCAGGCAATAACTGATTGAATTTCTGACTTAAATGTAAGGAACAATTTCTCGTAGTAACACAACCTAACGGGTGACCCTCTGCATCGAAAGTGGGTGGCTGAATTAATCTCCAAGTTACTCCATGGTTAAAAGTAATGACTGATCCCAAATGTTGAGGTCCTAGATGAGCAGCAACTGGTTTTGATGTAACTCTCGATGCTATATAAATGCCTGTCAGACCTTCTACTTTATAAACATCAGCAAATGCTTCTTCTGGCATGGGGCTAAATTAAATAGAATTCTTATATATTTCGTCTGCTGTATTGTATATTTTTTTATACATATTTTTTGAATTACCCCCACCCAATATTGTGTTTGAAAGGGATTAAGCTAGAATTGATTGTAATGAAAACTATGTTTTATAATTAAAGACCTTAAAGTAACAACGATACAAGCCACAATCTTACTAGAAATGAGATATTCATTTTTCAAATGGTTAGGTTCTTATCTACCTACAAAATAAAAACTACACCTTTTGCTTCTTAGATGACTTCACGAGTTTTAAATATCCTTGTTACTTTCATACCGAAATCAACTATTTTAAGTGTCACAACGGTACTAACCACCATATTTGGTGTATGGTGTATTTGGTTTGTATGGCGCCATACAAACCTAGAGAGACAGATTAGACATAAGAGAAAAATCAAACGAAACTTGGGCCATAGTTATGTAAGTAAACGGCATAAACAAGTACCTGACAGGGAAATTGGACCTCCATATAAGTGTAGCAAGAAATATCGAGATGCTATGGCATGAAAAGGAGCACAGATCTTTAAAGCGTTTTAGAACTTGACGGACTATGATAAACAAAATATTAACCTTTTTTCCTAAATGCCTACCCCAAAAAAGAACCTACCCCAAAAACCAGAAGTCATGTATCGTCACTAAATGTTTCAATACAGTACTTTGTAAAGATCAAGGGTGTAGATGTAAAAATATGCAAACAAGTGTTTTTTGCATTTTATGGATTGCGAAAATAAAAAAAAGAATTCAAATTTTATGTGAACAAATGAAGGAAGATGCTAGTACATAAACGTGGCAATCACCAGAACAGAGCAAATAAAATTAATGACACTAAAGTACACTAGTCACTCTAGTAGTAGGCAAAAAATGCAAACAAAGTGTACATAGATCATGGTTTATCAAGTTTTGCTCTTTATCACCATTATTATCTAGAATGTAGGTAGGGATATAAATGCCAATCCAGTAAAACAAAGCTACTACAGAAACGTTTTTTGCAAGGAGTTTAACATTGGATTTAATTTACCCAAAACGGACACCTGCAAAACATGTGATTTTCTAAATATTCAAATTAGAAATGTTGCCAGTACGGGAGCATCAGCAGATAACTTAAAGACTCAACTTGAACTACACCATCGTAGGGCCAAAGCGTTGCAACAAAGACTTAAATATGAAGTAGAAAATGCTAAGAAAACAAAAGGCATCATTGTCATCAGTTTTGATTTACAGCTCTACCTGTACCTTCGTTGACAGGTGGTCCTACTTTTTATCTGCGAAAAGTCTGGACCTATAACTTAGGAATACATGATTGCTTGAAGATATGGGATATCTGTATTTATGGCCCGAACACTTGGCAAAACGTGGAATTGACGAGATTGCTGGTATATTATATAAGCATTTTAAGGAAAATCCCAGTGAATATAGGAAGCTTATTGCATATAGCGATAATGGCGCCAGACTAAACAAAAATTGGACCATTGTATGTTTGTGGCAACAACTAGTTAAAGAAAGTGTCTTTGATACAATAGAGCATAGATTTCTAGTAGTGGGACACACACATCTTCCTTCTGATCGTGACTTCGCAATTATTGAAAAGCATAAACGTCGTTATGTTAATCAATTATATACGCCTGCTGATTGGTATCAAGCAGATAGTGTCATTGTGCTACAGCAGCAAGAGATTTTGTCGTTTAAGGACTTACAGATCCAAAATATTACCAAAAAATCCGAACGTTTTATAAACATCTTTGAAACGAAGAATTTAAATCTATTAATATTGGTAGGAGAGGTGTAAGAAACTGCAGTAAACCTGTAAGAGATTTAAAAATTAAATATGATGCACCCATTCCATTAAGTCCAAAAAAATGTCTAATCTTTCAATGCTTCTTCGGTATATACCAATTATTTACCAGAATTACTATGGAGAGATTGGCGTTGTTAAAAATATAGGAACAGATAATGGCATAGATAATGAGACAGAACATTTGGATGACTTTAGCGATCTAGAGGATAAAAATTGAAGCCATTTTAAAACAATTCTAAGTATGGACTTGCAATTTATTGTGTTTTTTACCGTTTAATACTATATATAACTTTTAATGGTATATTAAAATACCTATTTTACAACTTATATTCATAACTTTTTTCATAATAAAGATACAAGCCACATTTTTTATTGTTTTTTTTTTTCTACAAAAACGACTTTATTAAAATTAGCTTAGCGTTTTAAGGTTAATTTTTAAATAACACCATTTATTGAATTTGCAATCTATATTTGGTATTTCAGGATTTGATTAAAACCTTTATAGTTGATTTTCTCAAAAACTTACTTTTGTGGCATGCACCGTTGCTGCTTTAAGGTCTTTAATTGTTATTTGACGTTTCGATTTATACTGCAAAAATCGTTAAAAAAAAAGATTTATTTTAAATTAAGGAGGTGATATTATTATAATCAAAGTTTTTGGGCGGGTATGCTAATAACTGCGAGAAAAACTGTATTTAATTAATAAAAAAAATTTAACAGACATCAATGTGCTTTTATAAAAATTACTCACTGGAGCCCAGCGTCTTGCCAAGTAGTTGAAGGGAAAAAGACGAAAACATCTTCCAAAGACAACGTAAACTTGACCTGTTTTCTATAGCCAGTTAAATTATCCGTTACATATAAATGAGATGTATTCGAATGCCCTGCTGCAACAAGAGCTTTGGTATTAGTCACATCGACGATGAAGTAACTGTTGAATTTTTCTTTGGAATCAAAGACGCATAATAGTGGTGCACTTAATTTGTAAGAAACGTACAGTTGCAGCTCTCCCTAAAATATTAACAGAAATGTTTTGTTTCTATATGCACATTGCTAATAGATATTTGCGTAACAAGGGAGCAAATAGCTACTTTCTTTCCCCAGAATGAAGTTTATTGTAATCATTTAAGGGAGGAAAATGCTCCCTTAGCATTTTCCTCCCTTTTGCTCCCTTTTGGTAGCATTTACTACCATGTTATGCATATGATTTTTCCACCTCTCTCAAATAACAAGTCATTTTTTCATTTTTAAATAATTTATTTATATAACTAATCAACAAAATTTATTAGAGAACTAAAACTAACAAGTAGGTACAGCATAACAGTATTTTCATAACTGCATCCTAAATATCTTTAATTTGTGGTTGGCAATTATTTATATTAATGGTAAATGTGAAATTTTGTGCAGTGGTTTAGCAGTTAAAATGAAAACTGGAGCTAAAGTAGATTTCGTGATATTTTCACTAACTTTATTATACACTTAGTATCCCCGAAAGTATTTGGCTGATTACAATCTACTTCTTTAACTAAAGTTGGAAAAAGACAATAATAGAACCCAAGAAACAATTACAGAACATGAGATGAAAAGGAAAAAACCTAAAAGAATCTGCAGGCAAAATAGAGAGAATATTTGAAAAGAAAATTAAAAACAATAGAGGAGCATTACATTAGCAAAGAAATAAAAAATTTCTATCAAAAAGTGAAGAGCACAGACAAACAAATAACAATCAAACAATTGTTTGTAGAAATAAAGGAGGACTGCTGCTTGGAAATACTGCAGAGAAATTAAACAGATGGGCACAATATTTTGAAAAACTGCTAAATAATGAAGAACAAATGCAAACAGATGAGGCAATGGGCCGATCAGAGAATAATGATGAGGAGTACATAGAGGAACCAACAGAACAGGAAACAAAGGAAACAATAAGATGGCTTAACAATAGTAAAAGCAAAAAGGAGAATGGAATCCCGGTAGAAATTTTAAAGGAAGGAGGAAATTTTAAAATGCCAGAGAGATGGAGTAATGCCGTAATTTGCCCAATACATAAGAAAGGTGACAGATCTCTTTGTGGTGTTAGAGCTACTGCATGTTGTGTACAAAATATTAGCAAAGATCATAAAGTTAATCAAATATTTACCTTAAAATCCAAAGAAACAAAATAACAGTTACGAACGAAACCTATGACTCCACATGCTCTTCATTAATTTAAAACAGGCATGTGACTCTATCGATCGGGAAAAGTTATATAATGCTCTACAAAATTTAGTTATATCAAAAAAGTTGATAAAACTATTGAAAATGTTGCTAACAAGTACAAAAAATAGAGTGGTCATAAAAGAAAGTATGTCAAATCTGTTTTCGGTTAGAAGAGGATTAAGACAAGGGGATCCACTTTCCACTGATCTGTTTAAGAACAAAAAAAGAACTTAAACAGTTGTTTAAGAACTTCGAAGATAAAGCAAGAAAATTTGGGTTGTATATAAATGAAGCTAAAACAAGATATATGGAAATGCCTGGTAAGATAACAGAACATAATAAATTCGTTACACTTAAAACGAGAGGAAAGGATTACAAAATTGAAAATGTCAGCCAGTTCGAGTATTTGGGTGTAACAATAACGAATAAAGGGGAAGAAGAAAAAGAAATAGAAAATAGACTATTAAAAAGAAGTAGAGCAAAGGGCTCATTAAACAATTTTCTAAAATCAAAAAATGTATGCCTGTCAGACCTAGACTATGAATAAGAAAGATGAAATGAAAATCGAGATCTGAGAAAGGAAGGTGTTGCGGAAAATTTTTGGTGGTATTAGCACGGCAAAGAGAAACTGGCGAAGAAGAAGAAATAAAGAAGTAATGGAGATGTATGGAAAAACATCAACCTAATTGTACAAAAAGTCAAAGCACAGGGAGTCAGGTGATTAGGTCATATTACTCGAATGGCAGAGAAACATTGTGTAAAAAAGGTGCTTTTTGAAGGAGGCGGAGGTAAAATGAAGAGAGGAAGACCACGGAAAAAGTGGTTAAAAGAGTTAAAGGTTATTTAAATGGTATATGAGTGCAAAATGGGAGAGAGAGAGAGAGAGCAAACGACTGGAAGTAGTGGAAAATGTGGAAAATATTAATGAAGAATTCATGTAGATCTTGGTCTTCCACGTCTTCGTTTACCAGCTGGTGTCCATTCCAATATTGAGAATATTGTCGTAGATGGTCCTGATCTTCATATATGTCCTAGCCATTTTGCCCTTTGCTGTTTTATTTTACAAACTATATCCTCTTTAATTTCGTTTAGTAGTTCATGATTCGTTCTTTGTCTATATTGGTTTTCATTAATTTTTATTGGTCCTAATATTGCTCTTAGTATTTTTCTTTCTAGTATTCTAAGGTCTTCCTCTTGTTTTTTTGTCATGCTAAGGGTTTCGGCAGCATACATCATAGTCGGTCGAATTATTGTTTTATATATTTTCATTTTCGATTTTTTGCTCAGTAATTTATTTTTTAGAAGCTTTTTATTTGCATAGTATGTCTTATTTGCTGTAATTATCCTTTCTTTAATTTCTGTTTCCTTTTCTCCATTGTTTGCTAATAATATTCCCAAATACTTAAACTTTTCTACTTCTTCAAATATATATTCTCCCAGTCTAACCTTTTTGTTTTTATATTTTTTGTCAAATTTAATTATTTTTGTTTTTTCTTGATTTATTACTAATCCCATTACTTTCCCTTCTGCTACCAATTCTTTTAACATACTTTCCATTTTTTTTTCTGTTCTTTGTTATTGTCACAATATCGTCGGCATATGCTATTATTTGTCCCTCTCTCGTTCTAAGTGTACCTTTGTTGATTTTTCTGACTATATATTCCAGGGCAAGATTAAACAGAGTTGCAGATAATGAATCTCCTTTATTTATACCTTTATTTATAACAAATTCTTCTGTGTCTCCTTCTTGTGTTTTTACAGTTACTACGGTTTTGCTGATTGTCATTTTTATTAATCGTCTTAATTTGTTGTGTATTCACATTTCTCTCATAGCTGTAAGTAATTTCGCTCTGTTTATTGAATCAAATGCTTGTTGGAAGTCTATAAAAAGCAGTTCAATTTCTATTTTATATCCATAAGCTTTCTCCATAATTTGCTTACCGTATGTATGGCATCTGTTGTTGACTTTCCCCTAATAAATCCGCATTGATACTGTCCCATGATATTTGTTGTCGCTTTGGCCAGTCTTCGTTATATTAAGGTTGACATGATTTTATACGCTGTGTTTAATAATGTCAGTCCTCTATAATTATTACACATTTGTTGGTCTCCTTTTTTATGGATTGTGATAATTTGTCCTTTGTGCCATTCTTCTGGCATCTTTTCTTCGTCCCATATGACTTTTATTAATTGGTATATTTTTTCTCTGAGTTCATGTCCACCATATTTTATTAGTTCCATGTTTATACCGTCTATACCTGGTGCTTTACCGTTGCGACTACTGTTTATAATTTCCTCAACTTCATCTCTTGTTGGTTTTTCTAGCTCGGTTTCTATCATCGTGGTCTCTTCTTCCACATTTTCATTTAAGTCTTCGTCTTCTTATACTGTTAATAATTCTTCAAAATAATCGGTCCAGATTTTTTTAAACTCTTTGTCATTTTCTGATACTTTTCCATTTCTATCCTTTATGCCTTTTATCTTTCCTTTGAAGGTTTTGTTCTGCTCGCTAATTTTCTTATAAAATATAAATAAATATTTTCTTATAAAATGCTTTTGTGTTTCTATTTGTGTTTTCTTTTCAATTTCATTTATCTTATCATTTAACCAGGTTCGTTTAAGTTTTCTTATTTGTTTCTTACATTCTGTCCTTAATTTGTTGTATTCTTCTTTATATTCTTGTCTATTTGTTCTGATCCACCTTTGTCTTATTTCTATCTTCTTTTTTAACATGTTATGACAGTCTTGATTATACCATTCTTCTTTTTTGTTCTTTCTCTCTATCCCTACATGTTCAGAAGCTGTTTCATTTATACATTTTTTATATTGCTCCATTCTGTTTCAACATCCACTGTATATTCACAGTATTCCTTCAGTTTTTTGCTTATATCTTCTGCATATTTAATTCTTCTATCTGTAGCATTTAATTTTTCTATGTACCATTTGTCCTTTGTTGTCTTGATTTTTAGCGTTCTTTTGACTTTTTGTCTTAACGTTGCGGTAACCATGAAATGGTCTGTGTCTGCATGTGCACCTCTGTATATTTGATATTTTTACCGTGATATTTTTACTACCACTTTTATTATACACTTAGTATCCCCGAGTATACTTGTATTTGGCTGATTACAATCTACTTCTTTAACTTGAGTGGCTCTAATAATTTGGTCCGAAATTTTTTGCTTTTTTGCAAGAGATTGCTCTACATTTTATATAGTCGCCTGAGTGAATATTCAGAGGAGCTTCTTGGCGAATATCAAAGTGGTTTTAGGCATGGTCGATCAACAACAGACCAGATCTTTGTGCTAAGGCAAATACTGGAAAAAACCAATGAATTCAATATCGACACATACCATCTTTTCGTCGATTTTACATCGGTCTATGATAGTGTCCTAAGAAATAAATTGTATGAAGCCATGGATGAATTTCACATCACCGATAAACTCATAAGATTGGTTAAGGCTACAATGCGTAAAGTTGTTTGCAAAGTCGAAATACAGGGCGAACTATTATAGGCATTTGAAATACATGTTAGGTTGCGACAGGAAGATGCACTGGCGTGTCTCCTTTTCAACATAGCCCTGGCGATGGGCCTGCAAGTAAATGAGGAGAAAACTAAGATAATGGCATCAACACCCAACAATAGAGCCAGAAACATCGGCCACCAATTCACTGTTGATAACTCTACCTTTGAAGTGGTGGGCAAATTCACATACTTAGGCTACCTGATCACCAAGGAGAACGTTATGATGGAAGAAATCCAGCGAAGAATAATCCTAGCAAACAAATGCTATTTTGGATTGAGTAGACATATGAGAAGCAGAAACTTAATCCAAAAAACAAAAATAACCATATACCAAACCCTTATACAACCAGTGTTGACATATGGATCGGAGACATGGACCATTTCCAAGGCAGATGAAAACCTCCTGGTTATATTTGAACGAAGGATCCTGAGAAGAATGCTGAAGATACCTTAGACAGCAAGAAAAACTAATGAAGATGTACTAAGGAGCGTCAACAAAGACAGAACTGCTAAAGGCTGTTAAACATCGAAAAATGTTTTATCTGGGACATATAGTAAGGGGAAGTCGATATTAAATATTACAACTGATCCTTAAGGGCAAAATAGAGGGCCGTAGAGGTGTAGGAAGAAAACAAGTTTCTTGGTTAAAAAACATTCGTGAATGGACTCACATACCAAATGCAGGAAAATTATTCCATATTGCAGAAGATCGAGAAGCCTTCGCAATGTTGATCGCCAACGTCGGATAAGTCTGATATGGTACGTGAAGAAGAAAAAGGGCATTGTGATTGTTTATTATTGTTCCAGTACTAACCTGTCAATCGACCATAACATGCTATAAAATTTAAAATCATAAATTCGTAAAGCGGATGGATCAATTAATTGAAGTCAAAATATTAATGGGTGATATTTTTAACATAGTGTCATAATCAGTATTACTGACGTTTCATCATCATCCAGCCGAATTTTCACATCCATTGTTGGATATAGGCCTCCTCCAAACGTCTCCAGTTCTCTCTATCTCTAGCTGCTGCAATCCAGTTTGTTTCTATCCTCCTTAGGTCGTCGGTCCATCGGGTGGGTGGTCTGCCTCGACTTCGCTTGTCGGCTCTTGGTCTCCACTCCAATAATCTCTTCGTCCATCTTCCGTCTTCCATTCTAGCAACATGTCCAGCCCACCTCCACTTTTGTTTATTGATTCGCAGTATAATATCGTCTACGCTAGTTCGTCGGCTCCTCATTTCTTACGCGATCTTTCAAGGTCAGGCCCAGCATTGATCTCTCCATTCGCCTTTGTGTTACCCTCAGTTTTTCGGCAGTAGCTTTCGTTAAAGTTAGGGTCTCTGCTCCGTAGGTCAAGACTGGTAAGATGCATTGGTTTAAATGCCTTCCTTTTCAGGTGAATTGGGATATTTGTTTTTAAAAATGTCTCTCATCCGTCCATATGCCGCCTATCCCAACATGATTCGTCTATTTAGCTCGCAGGTTTGGTTGTCTCTGGTTATTCTAATTTCATGACCCAAGTATGTGTATTTATCGATTAATTCTACCTTGTTGTTATTGATCTGTATCTCTTCGCTGGGAACCATATTGGTCATCATTTTGGTTTTCTCGAAATTTATCTCCAGCCCAGTTTCTTGTAGTATGTCATTCAGTTCTTGGAGCATGTCTTTGATCTCTCCCAGATTATCTGACAGAAGCACGATATCGTCCGCAAAACGTAGATGGTTTAATCTTTCCCCATCGATGGATATTCCTTTCTGTTGCCATGTTAGTTTTTTAAATGCATACTCAAGAACGGTAATGAACAGCTTTGGTGACATGGTATCACCTTGCCTGACTCCCCTTTTTATCTTTATTTTATTAGTTGCAGAATATAGACTTATGGTTGTTGTGGCATTTTCATATATATTTTTAATTATATTACAATATCTGTGGTCGATCCTGCAATCTTGTAGTGCTCTTAAGATGGACGGTAGTTCCACTGTATCAAACGCCTTTTTAAAGTCTACAAATATCAATGCCAAGGACGGTTGTATTCGTTAGTTTTTTTCTATTAGGGTTTTTAGGCACTGTAGGTGATCGTTTGTGTAATTAGGGCGGAAACCAGCTTGTTCCCGAGGTTGGTAAAAATCCAGCTTTGTCTCTAATCTATTCGTTATTATTCGGTGTATAATTTATAAAGATGGTTAAAGAGACTGATTGGTCTGTATCTTTCCAGGTCTGCTATATCTCCCTTCTTGTGTAAGAGTACAGTTCTTGAATTATTCCACTTTGTTGGGATATTTTGATATTTTGGCTATCAGTACTGAGCCTCCCCTCTTTATCGCTTCCGTGACGACACCGTCCTCCCCCGGAGCTTTGTTATTCTTTATCTTTTTTAGGGCCTTGTAAATTTCGTTCGTTACTGACGTTTAGAATGCAATATAAAAATGTTCAAAGTAATGTTTTATTTAAATTAAATTCTATTTATTTTTAGAAGGATTTCAGGAGTTTTAAATTAAAATATTTTGCTTATTTTAATTAACGAAGTCACTTACCGTTACATTATATTTTGTAAAAAAAAGATAGTCTCCTTTGATAAAGATATCTTTCACGTTTGAAGCGTGAACGCCTGACACCATATATTTAAAGAAATTCGACGAATAAAGAATTGTGCTCAAACCATCTGGTTCGAATCCTTGCACGACAACATTGTATTCGTCATCTTCGTCTTTCAACCAGTAGAAAGTGTCAATGAATTCCTTTATCATTCGGAATGATTTTCCGAAGTCTTCTGTGACCCATAGCTAAAAAATTAAATATTGGTGAGTACGTTTTATTTTTCTATGAAGATTATGTTTACCCTGGGGTGATTGCTATGGCAAAATCGGTAAAGTTTTGGAAATGGCCAGAAAGACGCGACGAAATATGGTATTCGTGGAACAATGTAATTGGTGCCATAAATCCTCCCAAGAAAATTTCCAGACGAGGATTGTACATTGTTCCAAAATGCGACAAATCGTGGCAAACTTTGTATTTTTACTATTCTCGTTATAATAAAGTTTGTTCATTTAAAATGCAGCAATGTTATTTACTTTTATGCTTCTTCCATAAATGTAGGTAGGCTCAAATTTAAAAAAAACTGGACCGACGAACATTTTATTACATTTAACACTTTCGCACCTGATTACCACTATACTGGTAGTTCGAATTTTCCGTAATACACTGACTACCTATTTACTGGCTCACAGCTCTACTAACTTCAATGTTTTATATATTCACACAAACCAGGAGTAAGGGTACGGCCAGGCTTAAGCGATTTTTCTCGAGAGATAAACCGTGGACGACTGAACTACAAAAAAACTATTTCAAACCCACTGAATATTATTGGAATGGCCATACCTAAAAAATTGCTTAGCGAAAAATCGCTCAGCGGCTAAGCGTGTCCGCTCTGTTTCCAATTCGGTTTGATTTCTAAGGGTACGGCCAGGCTTGCGAGCGATTTTTCTCGAGAGATAAATCGTGGACGACTGAACTACAAAAAAATATTTAAAGCCCACTGAATATTATTGGAGTGGTCATATCTATCATTTTTCGCTAAGCGATTCTTTAGGTACGGCCACTCCAATAATATTCAGTGGGTTTGAATTTTTTTTTGTAGTTCAGTCGTCCACGATTTATCTCTCGAGAAAAATCGCTCGCAAGCCTGGCCGTACCCTTAGAGACTTTATAGTTCCATTTTGTCTTCAACCTTAACAACACGATGTCTTGTTCCAAAGAAATTTTAATTTCCGAAGTGCAAAGTAGACCCATTTTAATGCAGGATACCCACAAACATTTTAAAAACAAAAGTGTGACAAATTATGGAGAGAAGTCAGACTTGCTTCTGGTGTAGAAGGTAAGTTATATTAATTTTTTAAGAAATTATTTTGAGGTTGTGTTATACTAATAAAAACGAAAGTTTAGCATTTTTTATTCATATAAAATAAATTTGTATTTATACGAAATACATGTGATTACTGATGTTCATATAAGTATTCTTTAAACGTCTCTCTGATTTGTTTTGCTTCTCTGGATGATCGATTATTATTTCTTCCTTGTTCTTGGTTTACTTAAACAGCATTTTCATTTCTTTGCATATTCATGTTCTCCATAACAGTACAATAATCAAGATTAGTTTCACCATCGTGAAATCATACAAAGTTATGAAGTATGCATGCACATTTTATAAATACGCTCGCTTTATCGTCATATGTCTCTATATATTTTGGCAAAAAGCACCATTTTGAATATAAAATTCCAAACGTAATGCATTTTCGGGCTGTAGATAAACCATCGAGCAAAAAGACAAAAGAGGGAATCTAATCCTTATGAAAAGGAGACCAAAAAAGTGGCCTCTGATGGCGGACATATCCGGAAATGCGAATGCGCCAAATGTGACATTTGGCACAAACAATAACATAACCCAACTAAATTTGATGTCAAACAAGGAGTGAGACTCTCTTTCCTTGTTTAATGTGGCCTCTAAAGATCGCACTTCCTGTCTAACAATATTTTTGCCCCCACTACCTTTACATTCCCTCTTTTGTCTTTTTGCTCGATGAGATAAACGCGTATTGAAATATTCTCTTCTTGGTGTGAGCACTCTGCGTGGATACGGTCGCATTAGGTATTTTTTCAAAGGGTAAGCTTCACCACCAATCAAAACATTAGGTAATTTTGTGCTTGATCCTGGTAGTTCTTGATCTGGGGGGATGCAAACTTGTTTGACTTCCAATAAGTTAAATAAGGTTTCACCATCAGCCACACCCTGTATCACTATCGAAAAGTATTTTAAATAGTTAAAATAACTTGATCCTGAGTTTGGTGGACATTTGATTTGGGAGTGTTTGCCGTCAATTGAGCCAAAACAGTTGGGAAATTATAGTATCATGATAATTTACCTAGTTTTGGTAAGCGCTCGTACCCATATCTGGAAAGCCCTCGTTTTTCTATATTTAAATGCTAATTGCTTTTGATGTTTTATTTTTTACAAATTTTTATTCTGTTAGGCACTTAAGAGATCATTAATACTATTTCGCCCATTCTCCTTTGAACAATTAAATCCTAAATTTTTATATTGTTTCTCTTTAAATAATAAAATTTGGAACACTATTTTTTTACAAGAGAAACATTTTTAGACAAAAATAGAATAATAAAATATGTACAAAACTTACCCTATGTCTTGTGATGTTTTTGTCAAAAACAAGAAAAATCGACGGATTCAATTCATGGAAAGATAGTTCAGAAGGCGTAAAACTCAAATTTCTCCTTTCAAATGTTTTTCCGTAATCAGTTGTAACGTATATTACATTGTGTTTGATGTCTGTAAACACAAACTAGAACAAAGAAATAATAGGTGAATACAAAATGTAAATATTATCAGGTTGCAAATTAATAGACAATAATTATAAAGCAAAAAACGAACGTATGCTGTGAATAATTTTTTTAGGGTTACTGCCTGCGGATCGCCAAGGCACGTCTGGAACCGGCGCTGGACGTGACAGCATGCGGGACGTCGGTGGCAGGGTGGTGAAGAGGTGGGCCCCTATCATACAATCAGCTATAGCCCAACAACAAGAAGAATCACAGGTGAGCCAAACAATAACAGAAGCTCTACTCGCTGAGGGTGCTGCGCTGGAAAAACTGTCGGCGCTCACAGCGGGACGATCGAGACAGCTTATGAAATGGACTCTGTTTATAAACGAAAAAATTTTGCACATCTATTACAAGGTACCAAAGCTCGATCGAGAAACGATCGTCTATCGACAACATGCCGAATTTTGTACCCAGAGATTCAAGTATCTGAATAGCAGATTAATATTGGGTAATTATAATAAATAATCTTGTCCCAAAGAATAGAAGCGATACCATCAGGAGTGAGGTCGAATGGGAGATTCATAACCAAGATCTAGGTGTAGATCAAGTCCCTAATGAAATCCTTAATGATGAGATTCCTGAGATTCCCATTCAAGAAACTCAACCTGTTTCTCAATACACAGCAGGCCAACAACGAGTTACACGATAGTCTGGTAGGTGAAATGGCACATGCCTTACAAGACTTTATTGGGACAAAACCACTTAGTAGACCACCGCTACCAAAAATAAACTATTGTAAGAAACTAGATGCGCTGTTAAAAATTGTGGTGAACACTGAAGACCTTCCCAATTATATCAATGTTATGGGCATTAAGATCAAAACACGACGGGGTACTAATATCGGAAGAACTAAAAGCAGAATAGCATCCTGGGAAAAATAACTGCTGAGGAACATTGACTTATTGCATAGAGATATTGGCAAATCATGGAATACATTCGATGAGTCCTCTTCTTGTAGTGCCTAGCCGTTTTGGATGTTGGCGACCATCATAGCAATCTGTATTTTATAAACTGCTGCTCTGAAAAGATTTGTGGTTATTGTGTTGAACCAGGAAATCCTTTGTCTTCCTTGTTCTTGTTTTCCTTCTATTTTATCTTGATTTAATTGCAGCAACCCATATATTTCGCTGTTTGTATTCGATTTTGGCTGTTTTTATTGTTGTTAACAACTCTTTTCCTTTTTGCATTCCTAATAAAACGTACTGGTTAGAAAGGTGGTTGCATTTCGAAAGCCTCAATTTTTTGCGGCAGAGCGTCTGTGAGTATCTATGACTCAACTCCGTACAACAGTATAGGAAAGATGTAACCTCGTAGTAACCTGATTTTTATGGGTACTGATATATCGTGGCATTTGAATAGCTTAGCCATTTTTTGAAATGCAAATCTTGCTTTCTCTATCGTACATTTTATTTCTAGGGAATGGTCCCAATTTTCAATGACGTTTTGATTACTCTTTCTAGTGATTGAATATTCACACTAACTCTTTCAATTTGTTGTTCCTTCTTAAAGACCTTCATACATTTTGTTTTCTTAATGTTCAGTGAAAGTCCATACCTCTGATTCACATCTGTGATTCTATTCAATCATTTTATTCATATCATCCGCGTATCTGATGTTATTGATACATCATCATCATTTTGGCTTTACAACCCTGTGTGGGTCCTAGCCTCCCCAAGAATTCTCTTCCAGTCGTCCCTATCCATCGCCTTCCTCCGCCAAGCACGTATTTCCATATTTCTCATATCTTGGTCTATGTTATCTAGGAATCTTGTTCTGGGTCTTCCCCTTCTTCTTTGACCAATAGGTCTACCACCAAGGAGCGTTTTTTCTAGCTGGGTCGGTTTGCTCCATCCGCATAACATAGCCTACCTACCTCAGACATCCTATCTTAATGTGTTTTACGATATCTGGTTCCTGGTATACTCTACAGAGTTCGAAGTTGTATCGTCTATGTTATTGATACATTCTCCGTTAATTCCAATTCCGGCTTCAACATCTTTTATTGCTTCTTGAAAGATTTCCTAAGAGTATATGTTAAACAGCAAGGGTGATATTATACATCAATGTCGGACCCCATGTTTGATTTTGATATCATCGAATTCTCTTGCCTCTGTACGGATAGACGATGATTGATTCCAGTGAAGATTGCTAATAATTCTTACATCACAGGTGTTTATTAGAATATATTTGTTTAATATCTCCATCAGCTTGTCGTGTGTTACTGTATTGAACGCTTTATGGTAATCAATGAAGCATGCATAAATATCGCAGTTCACATCTCTACATCGTTGAAATAACACTTGTATGCTGAAGAGAGCCTCTCTCGTACCCACTGCGTTCCAAAAACCAAACTGTGTACGGCTGATTTTTTCTTCGCACAGTCTATTGTACGATTTTTAGAAATAACTTTAAAATGTGGCTCATTAGGCTTATGGTCCGGAAATCATTGCAGGATACAGATTTTGTTTTTTTTTTTTCGTAAAGTAATAAACGTTGACTTCAGCCATGATCTCGGTATTACTCCGTTTAAATATATTATGTCATTGAATATTTTTGTTAGTTGTTGAGTAATATCGTGTTGTTAAATAGCTTTATGAGTTCAGCGTATGCATTGTTAGGTCCAGGAGCTTTGCCATTTTTTAGTTGGGATATTGCTTTTTCCACTTCATCTGATGTGATTGGTAAGTGGTCATTACATATGTAGGACGAAGGTTTTTTTTTTTTGTGGCTTTACCACTTAGATTTTTAGCCAATTACGTATTGAGAAATAATAAAAGAAAAATTAATAATATCAATATTCCAATATAATTAATACTAAAAAAAAGTGTATGCATATACACATAAGTGCATACACAAGTGTACATATACAAGTGTATACATACATAAGTGTATAATCTATAGTGCAAAAAGTGTGTCTATTCGAGTCAAAAAACCTCATAAAATCCCTAAAACTGAATCAAATAAAAAGAGAAAATTATAGCAAGATAAAACAAATATAAGGAAAAACAGGGATACTCACTTCTCGTCCAGGGACCCATCAGGACATTTGTTTAAGACATTACTAGCAATAAGTCACGGAAAGAAAGGTAAAATAACAATTGGGTTAAAACAAAGGTTAACGAGCTTAGCTAAGATTGAATACAGACACACATTTGCACTATGTATAAATTTAATCAAACAATCATAGACTTTTTTATTAGTAGTAGCCAACAGGTTATTTATTTGATATGGAGGAAATATTTGCAGAGATTGTAAGTTGTTTAAAAGAGTTCCTGAATGCTAAAGATATTTGGAACACTTAAAAAATATGTGGTTAAGATCTCCTTGTTCTTGACAGGTTTCGCATAAGTCTGAATTGTATATTTTGATATGAGCAAGATGAACAGGATAACAAGCGTGGCCAAATCTCAATCTTATTAAAGTTGTTGTATATTTACGAGCGGTATTGAAATTTTTAAACCATCTGGAATTAGAGATGTGCGGTTGTATATGCACGTATTGTGTTGTTGAGTGGTTGCAAAAAGTTTGCCAGGAAGTATTCCAACGATCTGTTTGATTTCTTTAGAGATGAGAAAAGCATCAGGAACACAAATTCTCTCATCTGGTAAAATTTCAGCTGTCGAGGTTATTGCAGCTTTTGCAATAGAATCAACATGCTCATTATGTTTTATACCAACATGAGCATTTACCCAAATAAAATCCGTAGTTTTATTTTTATTTTTAAGGTTGACAAGAATGTTCTTAATTTGGTAGTTAAAGCTACCAAATTAAAGCTAAAGTTTTAAGTTTCGATAAACTTTATTGTCACACTCCAATCTAATTATCATTCAAATAGTACTTACATGCGAATTAAGTTTCGGGTGACTGTAAAACTTATCCAATGTAGCGTATCCACCATCGGGCAACTTGAAGTTTTCTGTTTTGTTTTGGTAATTATCACCATCGTCGTAAGATATAAAAACTGTGGAAGGAGTAAGTGTCGTAAAGCCAGGTATTTTGGGTTCAGGATCGCGAGCCAAACATATGATTACTTTGCTGTTTTCTCCCACCCAATGTACCATCAAATTTTTGTGAGTATCGTTCAGATAGTTAACCTAAAAGTTAAAAATTATATATGGTCAACAATTATGTAATTATTATATTACATATTGTAGCTTGTTTCAATAAAACGAGCGGTTCTACTTTCTGTACATATATTTATTTATATGTTTATAGCACGATATTATCTTATCAAGTAACTAACCTAATATAGAGCAGCTTATATATACTAGCTATTGTGTACTAGACTATTCTGGAATAGTCTACCTCTATTCACTTGTACCCTACGACAGTATCCACTTGTACCCCAAAGGTTCTTAAAAAAAACAACCTAAAATCTTTTGTTTTACCTCAAAGTTAGAAATAATGGTGAGAACCTACATCAGAAAAACTGATAGAAGTAATATTCCTGAAAACGTAGTAGTTCAGGCCATTTGCGATATAAAAAATGGTAACGGATCAATCAGAAACGTAGCAAAGAGATATGGATTGAAGAAGTCCATGTTACATAAAAGATTAAAAAAACTGAATAAAAAAAAATATAAATGATACAGAAATATCCGAAATAAAGTTTTCATCAAAATATACAACACAGCAGATTTTTTTAAATGTATACAGTATGGATTAACCTATATTCAAATTCGAACATTTGCATATGAGTATGCTCTGAAGCTTGAAAAAAATGTGCCAAAGTCATAGTCGGAAAATCATTTTGCTGGAATTGAGTGGATAAGAGGTTTCATGAAGCGTCACAATAATTTATCCTTTCGAAAATAGAACAGAAAATATGTATATTTTTCAATTACCTTTGTCACTACATCCGATAAATTATTTTCGGCCTCTCTTCTTTTTCGGCGAATTTCTCCATTGTAAGATGCACTATCTGAAGGAGCGTCAAGTATGTTTGTTTTCGAACTTTTTCCAATACCGTCAATATGTCCGTACAATGTCTTTGATTGAATATCAAGCCTATTGTTAATTTTGTAAAAAATAATATAAAAAGTAACAAATACATTGTCCCTACTTCATTACTACTAAATTCAATCACAAAACATATTTCTTTTTATTTATCTGTAGCACAAGGGGTTTTACAATTTAATTTTTAATTTTATATAAAGTTCAGATATCTTCGTTTATCACATAAAAATGAATGCTTATTATATTAAACTGTGTTCGCTATTAAGATAGTATGGTCAAAACATAATCATGCCTCAGTCACGTGACGGTTCATATTTTAATTAAAGCCAAAATTAAGTTTATTATATTTTCTATTAAATTTTTATTTGTCATTAATGATAATAAACGGTGTTTTAAAAAGAAATGGTAATAGTAATTTACAGTAAACAAATTATTATGAAATATATTTAAATATAATTTTGTATCTTTCGATATGTTACAGTAGGCGGTTCAGTAGACTAGCGCGAAGATTTATACTACATTTTTTATATTTTTTAAATTTATATAATATTTTTAAACTTGATTAAAATTAATATATTATTTATTTATTATTTATTTATTATTTATATTTTAACACGTTCGCTACCAAAATCTTAAAATTTTGAGCATTAAGGGACCACTTTTTTTTTATTATTTTGAAATAAAATTATTTTAATTGCGCTGTGAGTCAATATAGTAAATATCAAATGCAGAAAAAAGACATTTGAAAGGATTTTTGAACCCGAATCATATATGAGACCATTGATTGAATAACCCAAATCCAATATACCCAATATTGAATAACCCAAATTTGGGTTATTCAATTAACGGTGAGACACTGGTCTATTATATGATTTTTTTCTTTGGTAGACCACGTGTCTCACTTATGAGCCACTCCAAGAATAATAATCTCGACTGTTTTTATTTTTAATTGAAATGAGGTTAAATGCTCGAATAAATGAACTTTGAAAATAAGGCTATTATCGAGCACAAGTTAATTAAATCTAGCCCAAGTACTTTCGCTTAAAATAGCATCTTTAGGGGCATTTCGTCAAAATGTAAACTATCCGGCAAGCGTAGAATGTGGAAACATTAAAAATAACATAAAATTGTACAAAACACTACACTAAAACGAGGACAAATAGTTTAAAATTACTTAAAGATTCTACGCTACATTCTCTGTCAGTATCTGGAGGGATAATGATACTGACAGAGAATGTAGCGTAGAATCTTTAAGTAATTTTAAACTGTTTGGGTTTATCTTAAGGGATAATGATTATCCCTCCAGATACTGACAGAGAATGTAGCGTAGAATCTTTAAGTAATTTTAAACTGTTTGTCCTCGTTTTAGTGTAGTGTTTTGTACAATTTTATGTTATTTTTAATGTTTCCACATTCTACGCTTGCCGGATAGTTTACATTTTGACGAAATGCCCCTGAAGATGCTATTTTAAGCGAAAGTACTTGGGCTAGATTTAATTAAACTTGTGCTCAATAATAGCCTTATTTTCAAAGTGTTTTTATTTTGTTTTTATTTTCGGTTGTTACAAAATGAGCGTACATAATGTTAAGAAGAAATTACATCTTCGATTCGTGATATTCACTAAAACAAGGGTCTACACAAAGTCCAACAGTTTCTCCATATTTGTTCTTACAGTCTGCACAAACAAAGTATGTTTGAGTTCTCTTCTTTTTTGAAGAACAAACACGACATCTTTTCCTCTTCTGCACCTTCTTTGGATAATGTGGCTTTTCCATATATGTCTGTTTTTTAATGATGGAGCACGTGTGTTCGTGTTTGCTTTTAAATATTGCAATACAAGCAACTCTCTAAACTTTAAATAAGTATTTTTTTCTTTGCTCTTTATTATATAGGTACGTGCTATTCCAAATGCAAACATCCAGTAAGTTGAAAAACACTTTCAGGTACCAACGGACTGTTTTAAAGAGCGTTGTGTAGTACGACACCATTTGGTCACTTCGATCTATGCCTGACATATTTTTGTTATAGTCTAGTATGACATTTGGTTTCTCTAGTTCAACACCTCTCTTATTAGTGATTTTACCAAAAGTACACGTCACGCTTATCTTCCCAATTTATCACAAGTACATTTTTCGTTTTTCGAAACATACTTTGATCTTTTTCTAATTTTTCTAATTTCTAATTTAGTAGTTATAAACTGATTTGGGATTCCCCTTACGATCTTTCCGTAACGTTTCAACAATGTGTGTTTTTGTTTATATAAATATTCAGCCAGACTTACACTGTTGTAATAGTTATTAAGGAAACAACGTATGTCCTTTGCCTAGATAACGTCCTGCTAGTTTCGTTACTACCGATTCAGCGTGACTAGTCTCTTGAGAAACTGTCCCTTTGCCCGAATAAATTAGAATTTCTAGCATCTGGAGCAAATCCATCTGTAGTGCAGAGTTCGCAGAGTGTAGTGGAAGCTACATTCTGATCGCCAATTCGACATATCGACATAAAATTGTACAAAACACTACACTAAAACGAGGACAAACTGTTTAAAATTACTTAAACTATTTGTCCTCGTTTTAGTGTAGTGTTTTGTACAATTTTATGTCATTATTAATGTTTCCACATTCTACGCTTACCGGATAGTTTATATTTGACGAAATGCCCCTGAAGATGCTATTTTAAGCGAAAGTACTTGGGCTAGATTTAATTAACTTGTGCTCGATAATAGCCTTATTTTTCAAAGTTCATTTATTCGAGCATTCAACCTCATTTCAATTAAATAATAAATAAAAAAGATACTGCTGTCTCACTGTTCCCCCTAGGAAGGGTACAGTGAGACAATTGCACTTTTTATTTTATTTAGCTATACGATATTTTTGGTACTTTAAATGTTCGTATGTATTACCAATTATCCTATAATCATGTCTTTTCGCTATACTTTAGTAAATAAAAACATTTTGAAAAAAATATGATGCCCTAATAAAAAAAAAAAACAAAAGTTTATAATTTAAGTAAGGGTAAAAATTTTAACATTAAATGCATTGCAAGCCGATTTGCAAGCTGTAAAATCGCACATAAAGATCTTGCAATAGACTGGCATCGAATTTAATTATGCAAGAAATTGCAGCAAGTTTTCTTGCGAGCTGATTAGCAGTCTTAAGGTACGACTTTTAGACATGGAAAGAGGGTGGACATGTAAGACTCATTTAACAAATCTTCGCAAATGAGTGAAAAGTGAAGCCAATTTCGACGTGACCGCCATGTTTTGGTGCCTGTACATTGCCCATCACTACCTCTTGCAGGGTTACCAGGTCTACTGATTTCTCTATATCGATCACTAAAAAATATGTAATGATAAAATCATATTCAAAAAGTGATCATTATGTTAGTGTTCAATTATAAAATTTGAAAAAATCTATTTATTGATATATATCCATTATTCTCAATCTACTGAAGAAATAAAATATGACCTGTCAACCTTTCTGGTGCCGCTTTGGCTTCAGTCAATTCCATACGATTACGCGTCCACTCTCGTTCCTTGTTTAAGGCACAGAATAATAAACAATCAGAATGTCCACTCACAGATGCCGCCTTTAAAGTTTTTCAACACGCGCGCCATGTTTTAGAAGGAAACACAGACACCACAGACATATGATTTGTGAGGTTAGGTAATTGTTTATATTTATGTTTAATTATATTATATTTATGTTATTATATTTAACAATATATGTTAATATAATTGTATAGTATGTCTATAATTGCCGTAAGTCAATTAAACCGGGTTAATTTTTCTATGTACACCACATAAACAACACTGGTTCCCTCTAAAATATAGCGGAACGTCTGCGCGTACTTAATTTTCCATGCAGAGTGGGCATTCTGATTGTTTGTTATTCTGTGTCAAGGTTACTGCTCTGGAACAATCAGTATAAATACACAGATCATGGCCGGATAGCTCGGGTACGTAAAGCCAAACAAATGAATGAAAGAAGAACTATAGACGCGTCTAAAACTTAGAACATAAAATATACGTCTAAAAGAAGAACTATAGACGCGTCTACATTCGTTGTTGTGTTGACTGTTGACTAGTGTTGACATATATTTGAAAATAGTTTCTATGAAACGGTTTGTTTTGAAGTAAAATTATTTAAGTTTGATTTAATGTAAATAATAAACAAACTATCTGATTTAGTCACAGAAGTAGCAACATATTTAAATTTATTGGTATTTAAAATGTAAATAACTGACTTCTTTCACAAAGGTTTTATTCACTTAATGTTTTTTAGATTGTCACAGAATCATGTCTGAGAAGAAAATGGATAAAAAACCAAGTAGAACTTCGGTAAATATCAGTTTTTTTAATAACTAAATTAACTGGATGCTCAATGTTTTTGTGGTACAAAAATTTCTGTACAAGTTTTTATATTAGAATCTCCATAACTTTATCACTATGGAACTTATATATCAAAATAAAAACTGCAATTGTGGTATATATATTTTTTTAATTTATTTTATACAGTTTACGTATCATTATCATCACCAGTGGTACTACAGCTCCAGCTATACAGGTAGGTTTGATTGGGTAGGTACCTTTTGTATCTATTCAAGCGTCAATCGAGTCCCAAAAAATAGACCAAATTCAAATAATGGCAGTACAATTCAAAGTTTTTTGGTACAGGTAAATGGCCAAAACCAAATATTTTGTTAAAAACCAGCACAAAGCAACTATACCCTACACAATTTGTCAATTTTGTTATTGACTTCTAAGAATTCATTTTCAATAATACAAAAAAATTGGAGTTATCTAAAGTTTTCAGCAAATATTTACTTACTTAATATTTATTTTGTTACAGATATTAAAACCAAGAAAAAGTATAAACCAGTCTGATGTTAATGATTCTAACTGTGAAATTGTTCCTGCCAGAGATGCTAGACGAGTTAGTTTTGCAAGTAGCAATTTTGTCAAGTTAGTATTTGTTTTAATGCTATGCAATTTAAGCAGAAGTTCATGAGCAAAGGCAGTGTCTTCTCCCTAATTAAAAAAAATAGTTTTCATCACCTTCCTGTCACAAGCGTCTGCCAACAACGCATACCAAATGGCTCTGATATATAATTGATTAAACTATTCAACATATATTAAGCATCATATTGCTTGGAGACCTTAAGTTATCCCTATTTTTAAAAATAAAGGATCAGCAACGGATGTTGCCAACTATAGGCTGATTTGTGTATCAAGTCAGTTCTCTCAAATATTTGAAGCAGCTTATGCAAATAGATTAACAAATTATTTAGAACATTTTAAAATGCTTCCTGTTATTCAAAACGAGTTTAAAAAAAGAAATCTGCAAATACTGCTATTTCTGACTGTCTTCAATTTATTTATAAAGCATTAAATGATAAATTAAACGTGTTGGGTCTTTTTTATGACCTTAGTCGTGCTTTTGATAGAGTTGATTGTGTACTCTTATTACAAAAATTGCAGGGTATTGGAGTACATGGTATACCATACAATTGGGCCTTATCTTATCTAAGTAATAGAACTCAAGTAGTCACAGTAGAAAATGTAAAGTCGAGGCCACTTCAATGTATGATGGGTGTACCTCAAAGCTCAATACTGGGGCCTTTATTATTCATTATATTTGTAAGTGACCTAAACATGTTTTGTTCAATGCCAGATAAAATTGTTCAGTATGCTGATGATACCAATATTCTCATGTCTCCCAGTGAACCCATACAGCTGGTGGAAAAGACCAAGTTGCGTCTGCTGAATTTAGCACATATTGTAAAAATAATGGACTCAAACTCAAAGTAAAAAAAAACACATTTTATGCGTTTCTTACCAAAAAACTTAACTCCAATTTCTGACTTTTATTTACATGTGGATGGCAAATCAGTAGAAAGTTATATTACAACGAACTTTTTGGAGGTAACCCTAGATCATAAACTGATGTAAATGAAAACTGTGTATTCATTTTTAATGGACTAAATAGGTTCTTATTCGTCAAATTCCATGTTGAATATTTCAAATTTCAAATAATAAAAAAATTAATCACTTTTCGATGAAATCTTATTACAACTTTTTTTAAAGTGTTTAAAAAAGGTTTATTTTTGTTAAGTTTCTAGCATCAAAAGTAAGCAAGCTATGACCAAAATATTCAGAAAAGCAAAACCTACATTTTTTTACTCTTTTTGATTTTTGGTGTCACTAATAAATTGTAAGTTATTTTAAAAAAAGCATTTTTTTTAAATAACGTAAGAGGAAAAGGTACCTCTTTTTTTTTACAAAAAAAGAACTAGTCGCTCTTACAAGTTGGCCCCAAGTAGTAAATTCTTTTATACTTGTAAATTTTTAGTTACAAAATTTCCAAGTTAGTTTATGAATATTTTCAAAATGTTTATGCATATCTAATGTCACCATTGTTGAATAATCACAAAGTGGACATTTTTTGTTTCCTTGTACTGATCTACAAGAGTTTGAAGATTTTGTGTAGTAGCATGTTTTTTTATGATAGTTAAATTTCTTCTGAATGTTTGAACATTTCGCATCTAGAACACTTTATTTTCACCTCCTCCATAATTTATATGAAACACAAATCAAAATACTAGGCAGAAAAGAATACAAAATCTGACAAAAACTAATAAAATTATGAAAAAATTTATAAAACTGAAAAATATTGAATTCCTGGTTGCCTATCTGTATCCGAGAGCACTTTGGTACGCGCTGTCCGTCGGTAGACGCTTGTCTAACTGCCTTCTCACTTCATTTCTATACCTCTTCCTTACTCCCCTCTTTCATTCCTTCTGCCACCCACCATTTCTCACTCGCGCTCCTTTAACTAAAAATCTTCCTAAATAGCTTATCCAAAACTTTACAAACATTATTTAATTTATTTCTGAACTTTAAAAGTTTTACTGAAAAGATCTTTATAGATCTTTAGAAATAATATTACAAATTATATAATGTATTAATATTATTATTCTTAACTTATGTTACTTCGTAACTATGTTACTTCAATGAGAGTAATCAGTTTGTCTCTATACAGGACTCACTTTCACGCAGCGACAGGTCGCGTCCTGTGTGCCTAAGCCTTAAATATGATTTTTTTACACTAGCCCAAGATAATGAAGACATACGAGTTCTGAATGTGAAGTAGAGAACTTCGAAAAGTGGGAGCAACTTGCTGGTTACTTTGCAGCAAAACTTTTACCAGCAAAAAATTGCTGGTAAAAGTCTTCAAATTAATGCTTGAGGGAAAGTTTTCACCTCAGCCAAAAAAAAAAAATGAGGACATCAAAAATTAAACTTACATTTTAATGAGCGTACTTCGTCACACTATTATTAATTTTCATATAACGAAGAAAATAGCACCAACAGTTGATAATTTACATAGAAAAGTTACTGAACGATGTGTGTATTTAGAAATTTACCATTTTTATTATGAATGAGCCACAATTTTACTTTAAAATAAGTTTATTTTGTCGTATTTCAGAAGTGGAAATCAAAATATCAAAGTAAACATATTTTAAACTGTGAAATTGTAGCTTATTACCAATAAAAATAATAAATTTTATTAAGGTGCCACAAGAACATAACTTCAGGACAGAGTTATTTAGAAAATATTGAAAGGTTAAGAAAATAAATTCATGATCATGACCATATCATAATAAACAAGCGGACAAAGCTTTTATTAATAGTACTAAGTAGTAAAAAAGAAGACATGAAAACATTGTTTAATATTTCTTTTGACAATAAAATACTCCAAAATGACCTTTACAATTAGTTCCAAAGTAATAAGCCCAGGTTTGTAAAATATTTGATTGATCATATCGCAAGAAAATATGGCTATAAGTTAGAGCCTACGGCTATGAGCTATGAGTATTAACACTGTACAAAACCGCTTGAAAAATTCAAAACTTTTTTTTGTTAATTGGAAGTTTAAAGTCCATAACAAGCAATAATGAGTAATCAGAAATTGTATTCTCATGGTAAATAGAGCAGTTATAGCAAACTTTCAGACAAGACTTATTATTCCTTTTCTGTCATCTGAGCACTTCGTGACTCTTCGCTATTTTGGGCTAGTGTAATATATTAATATTCTTATATTTATATATTTCTAGGCCATTTGTTGCTGATCCCGAAAAAAATACTATTTGGGATAATACATATGAAGAAGAGGTAAATCATACAGATTCAACAAGTGAAACTAAAGGATTTTTGGATACAAATTCTGTAAGTGCACTCACATTTAATGATGAGAATCAGGAAGTTAGAGCAGAGCCATTTTTTGTAATGACACAAAATACTTCAGTTCGATCTGTGAGTATTAACACTACAAAGATTGATGAATGCAACAAAGAAAATTATGTACCATCAATACTGAGGAATCCATTTGTTGCAGAAGGTAGTATACATGTTAATGAGAGTGTATTTAAAACGGAAACCAGGACTTCAGAAATTCAATTTACAGATTTAAAAGGTATGCAAACTCAAAATCAGGAAAATGCTATGGACCTGACGTGTATGCCAAGTATTTTACCAAATAACAATATTTCTCTGAAAATACAACACAAGACATGGAACTTACAGATATTTCTTTAAAACTCACAGATTTTCCACTAACTTCAAATTTATTTTATACAAATACAGTAAGAAAGTTTGAATCTGACAACAAAGAAAACATCGTTGATTTAAAGCATATTCCTATAATTCCAGATAATAATTTAACAAATGTATTATCAACAACCAACAATACTCTAGCAGAAACCCTCAAAACCATGAAACCAGTAGATATCATACCGAAGGTTCCAGAATTTTCTCAAAATTCAGAAGTATTTCGAAAAAATCAGGTCCAAGAATTATATCATGTCAATACTGTAGCCTGTTCAGATATGCAACTCACTTGTACCCATCCAAGAGAAGATATTCCAGAAAAAGATTTTGATAATTCAGAAATTAGTATGGAAATTACCTCGGACATACTCGTAGATGAGAGTATGAAAAATGTTGGAAATTCAGGAACGACCATGCCACTCAGACAAATAGTTTCGACAAATGATAATGGTAATATTCTTGAGAGATCTTTAGGAAATCAAGAAGTAAACCTTAGTTATTCTAATAATATGAATATTGACACGAGCATGCAAATCACTTGTGCTATTCCATGCGCGGATCAAACAATTTCAAGTAATATAAATGATACAAAAATAGATATGGATACTAGTATGCAGATTACGTGTGTTTATCCAGAATCTAACAAAATTGTTAAAAGCAGTGTATATGCAAGTGGGAATTCTGAAAAATCTTCAGGGAATACTACCAAAAACAATATTGACACCAGTATGCAATTTACATGCGTTTTACCACCCACTAGCCAAATAATTTCGAATCATATAAATGATCATAAAAAAAATATAGATACCGGTATGCAGTTTACTTCTATTTGTCCAGAAACTGCTAAAATGATTGAAAATCCTGCATTTTCAGATGTTGGTTGTAATAAATCGTATAAGAGCAATACCAATACGAATGTTGACAACGGTATGCAATTAACCTGCGTTTTTCCACCCACTGGTCAAATAATTTCAGATCATATAAATGATACAAAGACAGATATGGATAAAAGTATGCAGATGACTTGTGTTTATCCAGATACTAGTACAATCTTTAAAAACTTTGCTGATTTGGACAAGGAAAAATCTTCTGAGAGTATTACAAGTAAGAATATTGACACCAGTATGCAATTGACTTGTGTGTTTCCACCCACTGGTCAAATAATTTCAAATCATATAAATAATACAAAAACAGATATGGATAACAATATGGAAATGACTTATGTTCATGCAAATAGTAAAATCATTAAAAACTTTACTAACGTGATCAATGAAAAATCTGAGAATACTACCAGTAAGAATATTGACACGAGTATGCAATTTACCTGCGTTTTTCCACCCTCTGGTCAAATAATTTCAAATAATATAAATTGTACAAAAACAGATATGGGTAACAATATGCAGATGACTTGTATTTATCCAGATACTAGAAAAAGCATTACAAACTTTGCTAATGTGGGCAATGAAGAATCTAAGAGTACTACTAGTAACAATATTGACACGAGTATGCAATTTACCTGCGTTTTCCCACCCCCTGGTCAAATCATTTCCAATAATATAAATGATACAAAACCAGATATTAATACCAGTATGCAGATGACTTGTATTCATCCAGATACTAGAAAAAGCTTTACAAACTTTACTAATGTGGACAATGAAAAATCTAAGAGTACTACTAGTAAGAATATTGACACAAGTATGCAATTTACCTGCGTTTTTCCACCCTCTGGGCAAATAATTTCAAATAATATAAATGATAAAAAAGCAGATATGGATAACAGTATGCAGATGACTTGTGTTCATCCAGATACCAGCAAAATCATTAAAAGCTTTGTTAACGAGGGCAATGAAAAACCTGAGAGTATTACCAGTAAAAATATTGACACCAGTATGCAATTTACTTGTGTGTTTCCACCCACTGATCAAATACTGTCAAATAATGTAACTGATACTAAAAAGGATATGGATAATAGTATGCTGTTAACTTGCATTTATCCAGAAACTGGCAAAATTAATAAAAAGTCTGCGTATGATGCTGTGGGTTGTGGTAAATATTCTAAGAGTACTGCCAGTTCGGATACTGACACCAGTATGCAATTTACCTGCGTTTTTCCACCCACTACCCAAGTAATGCCAGATAATATAAGTGATATTAAAAAATCCAGTTCGCATTTGGTTGGTATTTATCCAGAAACTGCTGATAATAATATTGACAATTTTTCACGTACTAACAAAATGGTTCCACATAATATAAATCATAACAATAAGGAGATTGATACTAGTAGGCAGATTAGTTGCAAATATCCAGAATCCGACAAAATTCTTAAAACGTCTCCAAATAAAAACATCACTACTAAAACTTCTGAAGATAATACCAATAAGAGTGTTGACACCAACATGCAATTAACCTGTGTGATTCCACAAGCTAAAGCAGGCATTTCAGATAATGACAAGTCTTATATTGGAACTGGAAATTGTGAAAATTCAAATATGCAATTAACCAACGCAATTCACAATGAAATTATGCATAAGACTGCTGTAAACATTGCAACAGACACATCTATGGTTAGCAAGAGAAATATTAATGGAACATTGTGTGATATGACTATAGATCAAACAGCTGGCGTACAAGCAACATTGTGCGACATGAGTATTGATGAAACACATAATTTAGAAGGTATAGCAGTCACTTATGTCGTTTCCAATGACGGTACCAACCAGAAAATAATAGATAATCCTAGCAAAAGTGAGTGCGACATGAGTATTGATGAAACACAAAATTCAGAAGGTATAGCAGTCACTTATGTCGTTTCCAATGATGGTACCAATCAGAAAACAATAGGTAATCCTAGTAAAAATGTGACCACTGGAAATGGTACAGTTATTACTGACAGAGTTGATAACGTTATACCAAATAAACAGGTAAATGATGAAAGATATTTTGTACCTATTAAGAAAACTAAATTTGCAGATGAACTAAAAACAGATATAAATATTTCCTATACTGACCAACAACATACAGGAGTTGATGAATATAAGAGAAAAACTCAAGAAAAATCTTTAGAAGTTGGAACAATATCTAAAACCGAAACTAAAAAGTCTTGTGAAGAAGATAATATGTGTAACGAACACAAAATCTCTACAGACATTGAAGAGACCAAAGACAATTTTGCGGTCACTGAAATCAAAGAAAATATGGTGTCAAAAATAATAACTAGATCTAGGACCAAGTTTCTTAAATTTCGTGAAGAATTTAATTCAGCCAAACGGAAACAGGATAATACAACCACAAATTTAACAGAAATTAAAGACAGTTCAGTACTTACTCAAAATAACGAAGAAGAGATCCCAAACAAAAACGATTTGATAACTCCAGTAGAAGCGACGACAAATGCTCGAAGTAAAGATCTTCAATTTTGTGAAGATTTTAATTTAAAGAAACGTGTAGAGTTGGTGAATAACGTTGCTGAAGACAACACCAACGCGAACATTCTTATTGGATCGTCACATGTCGTAACCAGGTCTAAGCATGCATTGCCACAACCTAGTGAAGAGTACAATTCAAAAACAAATAAAGTAAATAATAAATTGAATAATTTGGAAGAAGATAGAGAAATAAATTTAATAACAGCTTCAGGAATTGTAACTAGATCTAGAAATAAGGTATTGATATCGTGTGATGGTCTTGGGCCGAAATATGAAGATCGGCATAAAAATGATAATAAAAATATAAGAAAAAACTCTAGTTGTATTCAATATCTAAGGGGTGATCATATGCCATTGCCCAATAATGACACAATGGACGAGACTATTAAAACTAGTATGACAAGATTAACAAGCTCGACAGATAAAGAATTTCCCTCGACTGGGGAAAGTAGGTTAAAACCCACAGAAAAAGAAAAAATACATGCAGATCATCTAATAATTCCTAAAATACAACAAGAGTTTGGTCCTAATGATACAACATTAACGGTATATGAGTCATCTTTGTTAAAAGAAACTACGGTGAATTCAAATGATTATCAAAATACTCACGAAGCAAAATCTATAATTTCTACAAACGATCGAATAACCAATAATTTTCCGAATCGCGCCAGTAGTGCTGGTAAGCCAGCTTTTTCATTTGACATTTGTCGTAGCAGTACTTTAGTAAATAGAAGTGATATCAAAGATGAGAATGAAATAGCCGGGACCTGTAACCTCAATAAAGAAAAGATAATGCGATTAAATTCTGATGTTTTACGAATAGACGATGCATCTTCATCATTCGCTTTGATGTTAAGTAATAGTCCTTGTCTTGAATATCCAGGGAAAAAGATTTATTCCACATGCACTAGACCTCGATTTAGCTTAAACAGAGATGGTAAGTACGTATGTCTTTTATGTATAATGTATTTCTTAATGTTTGACAGCATGCTAAACTGTGAATCAGATAGAAGTAAGCCAATTTATTTGAAATAAAAAATTCTAATACACGATCAATACAATCAATTGAAAGAGATTTCTCTTTCAGGTGCTCTTCATGTTTCACTTTTAAATAAGTTTATCGCCAGAATTAATAAAGGATGTACAGTTGCGGTCACGGAATAGTTTACACCTTACTTTTTATATTGTAATACTGTAAAATTGCAGTGTCGTACGGATTTGATAAATGTCAAAGTCAAAAGCAAGAGCAATTGCCAAACTCGAAGAAGGTTGGTCACTAAGGCAAGTTGCTGCTGATTTGAACGTGAGTCATATGTGCATATGGAAGATTAAACAAAGATGGGATAATTTTCACTCTATAGCACGGTTGGGCGGTTCAGGAGGGCAGAAGATTTCCACAGATCAACAGGATGAGATGTTAGTAGATTATTTGAGAGAATCTCCTTTTGCCACAGCTTAAAAGGCAAGAGAAGAGGCAGCGTTTCCAGGCAGTATTCGCACTGCACGTCGAAGAATTAAAGCAAGTGGACTGCTAAATTGTGTAGCTGCACGGAAACCTTTTTTGACTGAGGATCACAAGAGGAGACGAGTTGAATTTTGTAATGAATTTATAAACCGCGATGAGAATTTTTGGTCTAGGGTTGTATTTTCCGATGAAAAAGTATTTCAGTCGTATAATAATGGTCGAATAAGATTTTTAAAAGTGAAACTGGAACAAACCATGAAGTGGAGATATCCAGGAGTGGCTAGTATACCTGTTGAATACAAAGCACGTGGTGTTCGTGTGTATTAAGGTATAAAAACGCTTATTAAAAGCTTAAAATTTTTTATTATAATATAATAAAAAATAAGAATAAGAGTTGTCGAATAAGAGTTTATAGGCCGAGAAATCATAGGTATGATGAACAGTATACGCATCATTTAAGAAATAGTGGAGGATTCTCTGTCAACGTATGGGGATGGATAAGTGCCGAAGGCCCGGGCGTTTGTTATCATGTAGAGGAGAAGTTAACAGGATTATATTACAAACAAATTATTGAGCACACAATGTTGCCATCGGTGATCCAGAGATTCCCCAACAACGACTATATCTTCCAACATGACAATTGCCCGGTGCATACGAGTAGAATTGTTCGAGAATGGCTAGAAGAAACTGATGTTAATGTTCTTCCGTGGCCTTCCCGTAGTGCAGACTTTAACCCCGTCGAAAATGTGTGGGCAGAGTTAACAAAGAAACTAAATGAAAGAAACCTTAGACCACGGAATAGAATTGAATTATGGGAAGCAATTGAGCAGGCATGGGAAGAGCTTGTTAACTATAACATGAGGGGATTGGTGCTATCTATGAACAGAAGACTGCAAAATTGTATTGACAAAAATGGGGCTTCCACCAAATATTAATTATTATTTATCATTGTTTATCGTTATTTAATATAAAATAGATTTAAAATAAAATGCATATTAAAAAAAAAGACTTCTTTATTTTCGTTATTAAGATCATAATCCATTTTATTCAAAAAACTGTTTTCTATATTTTTCATTTTGTAAAAATATTTTGATATTTTAATTTTAATCTACCTATTCTAGCTAGTACAACCACTGGCAACGTCACTTTGACGTAAAAGGTGCGTTTAAACGAAGTAAAAAATTTAAAAAATGGGCTCCTAGATACGTGAACCTGTAAACTATTCCGTGACCGCAACTGTACATTCTTCATACTGGTCTTTCTTTGGCTGTCAGGAGATATTGTTGTTGTTTGTTTATGTTTATATTTTACTTATTTTTTCATTAGTCATTGTTTCGTATACACTTCTTATTATAAATCTATTACTAGTATTGATCTCTAATATATAGTCTTTTTTTTGGTAATTTGTTTCTATTTTTTTTTCTATTAGGTGCTTTTTAGTTATTTATATATAAAATAGGTGATGAGGTTCTCAGAGTTCCACATCAAACTCTTCTGCAGCTATCTACTTAATTCAATAGCTAATTTACTAGGACTGTCCAAGTTTCTCATTTTTTCTCTTTTTTTTGTATATATATTTTTTTATTAAATTGTTTAATTATTTCTTTTTAATTTTCTTTTTATATTATTTTTTTGTATTCTAACAAATTACAAAGAAATACTTGCTCTATATTTAAAATTGCAATTTGAGTTTAATATTTAAACATGTTTATACAATAATCTATATAAAAACTCATTGTTTTCTAATGTTAATAAATAATTTAAATTAATGGGATGGTGGACATCGGTCAAAGAATGCAGCGAATTAAAACAATTATTAACCTTATTAGATATAAGAGAACAGTCCAAAATTTTATGTTGTAAGTTACCCATCTTACCACAAGTACATTGTTGACTATCACCTTGTTTCATTTTTAACATATTTGATGGTATAAGACAGTAGTTAAATCTCATTCTGCATATAGTTCTTGTCATATCCTTTGTCGACTCCATTTTAGAAAACCAAGATTTATCCGTAGTATGGTTTCTGATTGCTCTTTAATGGTTTCCTGTATTTATATTCTCATGAATATATTTTTCTTTCCATTCTTTCTTCTTCTTCTTCTTCAGCCTTCATTTATCCATTGTTGGGCATAGGCCTCCTCCAATTGCTTCCACGCGTCCCTATCTTTTGCAATTCTCATCCACTGTTTTCCAGCTACAGCTGTTATATCGTCTATCCATCTCTTTTTGGGTCTTCCTACGCTCCTTTTTGTTTCTCGAGGTCTCCAGAATGTCACTTTATGAGACCATCTGTTGGTGTCTTGTCTTGCTAAATGTACTACCTATTGCCATCTCAATGTCGCTATTTTTCCCATGATGTCGGTTACTTTAGTTCTTCGACGTATTTACGTGTTAGGAATTTTGTCTCTGAGGCATATATTTAACATGGCCCTCTCCATGGCCCGTTGAGTTACTCTTAATTGTTCTGCCATTTTTCTTGTTATTAGTTTCCAACCCATAAGTTGCAACTGGTAGTATACAAGTGTCATAGGTTTTTCGTTTTAAGTGAATTGGGATTTTTTTGTCTTTTAAAATGAAGCTCAACTTACCAAAAGCAGCCCATGACAATTGTGTCCTTCTTTTAATTTCTAGGGTTTGGTTTTCCTTTTCGTTTTTAATTGTAACAAATGTTGTAGCATTGATTTCAGTTCATGGATATCTGTGCTATGTCGTCTGCGAAACGCAAATGGTTAAGATATACTCCATCTACTTTTAATCCCTTTTCAGCCCAATTTAGTTTTTTGAAAACCTTTTCTAATGCCAAAGTAAATAATTTGGGTGAGATGGTGTCGCCCTGTCTCACACTTTTGCCAAGGTCTATTTTCATAGTTTCCAGATCATCATCTATTTTTACGTGAAAAGTAGCATCATCGTATATATTCTTAAGGAGGGCAGCATATCTTGAATCTACTCTGGCGTCGTCAAATGCTGTTAAGAAAGCCCATTTCTCGATACTGTCGAATGCTTTGTGATAATCGACAAATGCCAGATGTAGTGGTATGTTGTACTCTATTGTTTTTTCAATAACCTTTCCGGATTGTTTGCAAGTGATCGATAGTGCTAAAACCCTTACGAAAGCCTGCTTGCTCCCACTGGTTGGTGTGCATCTAGTTTAGCTGTCAATCTATTTGATATTATTCGGGTTAGTAGTTTGTATAGGTGTGACAATAAGCTTATTGGTCGGTAGTTTTCTATATTTGCGGCGTCCCCTTTTTATGGAGTAGAATGACTTCCGCATTTTTCCATGTCTTTAGTATTTGTCCTTCCAATAGGCATTTATTCAGTAATGCTCGCATTGCCTCTTCTAATGCAGTGCCTCCCATTTTTAGCATCTCCGAATTAATTTTATCTTCTCCTGGTGTTTTCCCATTTTTCATTCGTTTTAGGGCGGCTCTAATTTCTGATGTTATTATTTCAGGGAGATCCTCTGAGCCCACATTTAAGATATGTTTTGTTGGTATACCAGGGTTCGGAATAGTATAAGTATATAGCTTCTCATAAAATTTTCGGATTTCTCCAACGATCTTTTCCTTATGCGAGTACAATGTTCCACGGTCGTCTTTTATCTTTATGATTTTATTGCTGCCAATGGATTTACATGTTTTTAGTACTTTCATGTTCTTATTGTTCTCTATGGTTTCAAGAATCTGGTTTGTTCTATAAGCTCTGAGGTCTTTTCGAATATTTTTCTTAACGCTTTTGTTGAGGTCTTTGTAGTCCGGGTTATCTCTGTTCGTTCTTCTTCTTTTCTCTATCTGTTCTAGAGTCTCGGGTTTTAGTTTAGCTTCTTTTTGTTTTCTTATTCTGCAACAAAGTTTCTTAGTGACTGTTTGTATGTCTTTAGTTATTTTCTTAAGCTCTTTGAATATGTCTGATTCTATATCTTTAGACGTACAAAGATAATAAGCTAATACTACTTGCATTCTTCTTCTTCACTGGCTTAACAACTCGGGGTAAGTCTTCGCCACATTCACTATCGCCCTCCATCCTCTACGATCTTGCGCTTCTTGTGTCACCACGTTTTTTTGCCAATTCATCTACTATTTCATTTAAAGTTATTCCACAGTGGCTTTTAACCAATGCCAACTTAACAGTTTGCCTTGTTGCTGAAGTTCTTTAATTTTATTTATTACAAATAATTCAATGTAATTTACTTTTGAATTAGGATTTATGGCAATAATTTTACTTACAGAACTTTTGCTGTCACTATAAATTATAAACTTTGAATGAATTTATATTAGATAAATATTTTAGTGCTTCCACTATCGCTATGCTATATTACTGTCTATCAAGAGTAATATCTTCCCAAATATCTAACATAACTTTGCACTGGATATGAAATAGTGTTTATTAAGATGTAGTTGGGTATTTCTTTTCGTTTTCTTGTAAAAATACATAATTTAGTTTTGGAATCAGAGATGTTTAGTCCATATAATTCACCCCATGTTTTAATATGTTTGGCTCCTTCTTCAGTGGATTTGACTTCATTTTCTATTTTAATGTGTTCTTGATAAATAACTATATCATCTGCAAATTGTAAAATTCTTGTGGAGTTTAAATTTTTTACTAGATCAGCAGTATAAATTAAATATAACAACGGGCTTAATATTCCTCCTTGAGGTAAACCATCCATCGCTAGCCTTGGACCAATTGTGTTACCATTTACCGATATATAAATATAATTTCATTATTTTTTGACAGAAACATTCGGGAAGACCTATTTTTTTTTTCATTTTGTTATATAGTATACTTAAATTAACGTTGTCGTATGCTGATTCAACATCTAATAAAAGAGCTGTTACTGAAGAATTTGATGTAAACGCTAAATTTATATCTGTTACCAAGTGACTCACTGCTTCCACAGTAGAATGATTTTTTCGAAATCAAAATTGTGTTTGTGATATTTTATTATTTTTTTCTAACCATCTTTCGAGCCTAAGTTTTATCATTCTTTCCAGTGTTTTTGTTATGCAGGAGCTTAATGAAATACCTCTATAAGATTCTGCCGAATCAGAATTTCGATTTGCTTTAAGTATGGGGATCACCCGATACTCTTTCCAACTATCTAGAATATCTTATGATTGCCATATTTGATTAAAAATGTTTAATAGTGTTTCTTTCCTTTTTTTTGATGAAAATTTGCCAACATAATATAATGTATATTATCTATTCCCTGAGAAGTGTTTTTCTTGTTCTTAAGACTTATTTTTAATTCATATAAATTAAATGTCACTGAAAGTGGATGATTAGAGTTTTTCTAGTTGGTTGCTGTGATCTTTGTGAGTTATCTTATAATTAACTGAAAAATAGTAGGCGAAAATTTAGGAGCCACGTTTCCTCTCCTGATATTTCTTTTATGTTGAGCCCATATTAACTCTATTGGGTTCAATGTACAATAATATGGAGGAAATCTAAGCACGGTAATGTCGGAAGAAGAGATTTTTCAAACCATGATTCAAAATTGAACTTCCCATCCACTCATGGTAATCTAGAGACGCGTCTTTAATTTTTTTTTGCAGATATTAATAATACATCGTCGATCCATCCATTTTCTCCACCGCAGTGTAAAGTTATAATTCTTTGTCCTTTATTGGGCGGTACTGAATTAGAACACTTTTTGTTATTAATCGTCCAACTATTTGTCACGGTGCCGTGTCATGAGTATTATACATATAATACAATATTTCGTTTCATTTTTTGATACTCAGTTATCTGCTTGATATAATTGTTTCTTAAAGAAATTATTCTAGTACTTTCCATTAGTGCCTGGCGTTTGTGTATAGTTTTGTACTTAAAATTATTGGCTTTAACAAATAATCGTGTAATAGTGTTGTTGCTCCACATGAGAGAATGTACTTTCGAACCAATTCACTTCCAAGGCTTTCAATAGTCGGAAAAATATTAGTGGCATACAGTTTGTATCTTGTTCTGGTTATAGGCTCAATTAAGTGCGGTTCTATTTATCTGAATTTGCCACAATCCTTTCTCCTCTGTCTAGAAGAAAATGTTCCTCCTATAATCTTGTAGCAGGTTGCTTTGGACACTCTGGTTAAAAAACATGTTTCTGCAATTGCCTCTGATTTAGACAACTCAGAACACAGTCCTTCATAAACATGTTTCAGCATACGTTTGACATCATCAGAGATGTATTGGACATGTCGTTTACGTTTACTACACAGCTTTGTAAATCTTCCAATTGATTAGAGAATTGCAGTGGCTCAAAAGCTGCAGAATTATTATCACACTGAGGATGCCACCTTTTAAAAGTATCTTCGTAAAATGGTAAAAGAAGTTTAGAAAGGACACTGATGAAGTCACAACCAAACTCACTTGTAGTTCTCTATTTGAATTTAACTGAAAGCTGTTATGGTTATACTAAAAATATTCTTGTTTCGCAAAATCTGATTTTACTAGTTTAAAAATAAAATATACCTACCTACCCAAGTATAAACCACTGGGTTGTTGAAACGTGATTTTTGCTTTTATTGCAGATAAATATATTTTTACACAGTCTCACCAAAATACGAGGCGACTATAATAATCGTGTTCGTTATAGAGGGAGTACACTGTATAATATTTTGTAATAAAGAGTAACACCTAATTTTGAAGTGTTTTATAATTTATTATCTAAAATTTTACTTTATGTAATTAAAACAAAATACACGAACACGTTGCATTGCTTGTAATTTTTTAATACAGATATTTTTTTAGAAAGCACTACTGAAGAATATTCCAGAAATGAAATAAATCCAGTCCGATCAAACGAAGAACCAAAAGAACCAAATGCTAATATGCAGTCGGCACCAATTAAAAATTCAAGTAACACTCCGAAAAACAAAAGCTTGCTTTTATGCGACACTAGCCCCATAATCGTGGATATGACCATTGATGATGAATATATTCAAGAGACTGAAAAATCAATTATAGATAAACTTGAAACTCGCCTTTCAAACTCTTTTATGCAGCCCCCTTCAGAATACAGTCGTTCTCTGGAAAAACTTTTAAACGAATTTAAACAGTGCTTAACTATGCCAAAGTTGGAAATTTCGGAAATTGACAATAATTTAATCAAAAAATTAGATGACGCTTCGAAGAAAACGGAACAATTATTAGAAAATTTAAATATTTACAAACGAGATGTTGTAGATTTAGAAGAATTGGACAAATTAGAAAACTTTGGAAGCTCTAGTACCAGCAGGTTTAGCGATGAGATTTTAAGTGCAGACTTTGTCAGCAATAATACTGGAGAAGATACGGGATGGGATGATATGACAGTGTCTAGAAGCTTAGAAGATAAAATAAAAGAAGCAGCTTCAAGGTAAATTAATTATACTAATCTCTCGGTGTTTATTAGGTTCAAATATTGACTATTTTAATTTTTTTGAGAATATTGTCGCATATTGTGTCAGCAAGACCTCCTTGAGCCTCTTTTCCTAGTCTTTCTTTTCACTCACCAGCTCTTTTTATCTTGCCGACATTTTTCTCCTTTTAGTCATTCACCTATTTTATCTCTAAACGATTTTTTATGTCTTCTTTTTTCTTCTTTCTATCGAACTTCATTCTGAAATGATATGTTCCTTCTGATATGTCTGTGTCTGGGTAATACTTTTTTCTCTATATAAGTATTCCTTCTTGTTTTGGTTTGCCTTCATTCAATTCCTTGTGTATTCCTGGTCTAATTTTAGTCCAGTGTACTACGGTTAAAATATTCCATCAAGACGCATCGATTTTGATAAAATTTTAAAATCTACCCTATGCCGAAATGTGATTTTACATTGGCAGTGGAATCAATATGTGGAAATAGCACATTTTTTGTCTGTAGGCTTTAAAGTTAATAATAAGACCTTTTGTTCTTTAAAGGCAATGGGATAAGGCAAGGGATAATACAGGGAGATTCCCTGAGTCCTTTATTGTTCAATCTGATTGTGGATGAAATAATAAAAAAGTAAGAGCTAAAAAAGGATAATGGGAGAAAAGCAACCTAAAATAATATGCTATGCAGAAGTGAAGACGATTTACAATGTAGGCTGCACCAATTCAATATAACCGCCAGAAAATTTAAGATGTGAATTTCACAAAAAAAAAAACAAAATGCATGGTAACAACAGCAAATTTATTAATAGCCCAGTCTGGTTAAAAAAAGATCAAAAAATGTTTCGCATATATCTGAAGCTTTTAAGACATAGGTGGGGTTACTAGACGACGGATAGATGAAAAGGTATCGTCTTTTTACCATGCGTTGCCACAATTTGATTTTTTGTCTATAACTGTTTTCCCTTATATTAATAAATAATAATTATATCATTTTTTTTATATCAAAAATATCTTTATTTTCCCGTTTTTTTCAATTTAAATTGATAAATAATTTACGGAGATATTTGCAAAAAAAGCAGTTTCTTTTGCACTAATTTATAAATTTTTAAACATTTGAACATCTGGGAATTACCGTCTTTAAATTTGTGCGAAATTTGTACATTTAGCAAATTTGATAGGATTCTTTAAGACTTAAACTATCTCAGAAGTTAAATGCATATTGCGTTTTCGTCGAAATTATTTACAAAATAAACGTTTGAAAAAGGGGTATGTTTTTTACTTATAAACAGTTGTAATAACTTCTATATTTTTCAAGCTACAGACTTGTACGTACAACCATTGGATAGCTGGTAAAAAAAGTCACATTAAAAAAACCTTCTATGGCCAGTAGGAACGAAGTTAGCGACTATTTAAAAAAAAAATCATATCTCCATTGTTTATAAACATTAAGAAGCAAAATTTGCACAAATTTTGAATGAAAATCTATATTTTATATTGAAACTTATAGCTATAAAATTCATCCCTTACCTTGAAACTTACAGCCCTTCGAAACGAAGCTACTTTCGAAGGATCGACATATGAAAGTAGAGAGGATAACTGTTTCAGCTCTATTTTTTTTTTCGACATCGGAACTTCAAATTGAAAAACGTAGGAAACATTTACATTATCCCGGCTTCCATTGCAGCTGGAAGCCTCTTTTGATATTTTGGAGTAGCTCGTCGAAATATGAAATAACTACATAGTTTTCACTGTCCGGAAAATATGGGAAACCTTGGAAAAATTGAGTCCATTTGAAATTCGCCATAAACACTTACTTTTTTTTTAATTTGGCTGGAAGCAGTATTAATAATGATCAATGTGGGGGGTCCGGGGACCGCCAAAAGGAGAATTCTAATGGAAGTGGTCCACTATACTTTACGCGGCACCGGTATGGCACCAAGTGCTTAACATCAAGAAATATAGACGAATGCTAGAGAAAGCCCAAAGGAAAGCACTACTAAGAGTAGCACGTGCATACAGAACAACATTAACGGTGGCCATACAAGTGATCACGGGTGTGTTACCCATCCACTTGATGGTGAAGGAAAGGGCAGAAACCTACGGGAAGGATGAGCAGGAGAAAATAATAGCTAGGAATAGCAGCCTAACAGAATGGCAGGAAGAATGGACAAATGAGTATAGAGCGGCCTGGACGAGGGTATTAATTCCAAATATCGCAGACTGGATGAAGTGCGGGGACAGAGACACCAATTACTTTTTCACCCAGTTCCTAACAGGACACGGCTCCTTCAGGGCCTATCCAGAAAGGATAGGGAAGGTTGCGGATGGAAACTGCACAGACTGTGGAGTGCCTGACACGGCCGAGCATTGTGTATTCGAGTGCAGAAGATTTGATGAGGACAGAAACGAATTGTACAGAAAGCTAGGTAGGGTAAGTACAAATACCATAATGCAGGTAGCAATGAGAGGAAAGACTGAGTACAAGGCAATATTGGAGGCAGTAACTCAAATTGTCAGAAAGAAGGAGATATTAGAGAGGAATCTACAGCAAAGGTAGGTAAGAGAGTGAGAGAAAGGGCGGAAGAGAGAGAGGGGATGGGCTATTCATGTGATGCACCGGTCTGGAGAGGACCTACCGCATGAGTAGCCTGTATAATGGGGGTGGACTTTAGTTGGCAGGCAGGGAGCTATGGGTGTATCTGTGAGCACGACTCTTCTGGGGCGACTGCGTGCGGATGGATCCTTCCACCTTGAATCCAACACACGCCAGGTCATCCTTAACGGAACACGGCCTGGTACGGTCTTTAGAAGATTTACCACCAAAAAAAAAAGTATTAATAATGATGACAATTTTCACCCCCCTTTCATAAGTCGATTTTTTCATCACTTGTCTTATTAAATTTTGCAATGTTTATTGAAATTTACTTTTTTTATTTTCTTTACATACATTGGTTTAAAAGTTAAAATTTGGGTCATTCATTCGACTTCACTGTCAGCTCTGAACCTTTTTGTTGCAGGTTGTTTGTCTTCACTTATTAAATCAGTCTCTAAATATACATCTTCGGAATTACTGTCGTCGTCAAACGTAACTGTACCGAGGTTGCAGCATATTCTCTACTCTACTTCTTGCTCAGTACAATTTATGCACAAGTTCGTACAATTCAGACCACGTTTTCGACACCCACATCTAGTAGTTTTGCAACCTGTGATGCATTTGCATGTAATCTGCTTTAATGTCTCTTTGGGAATTAAATTATCTAGAGTATAAATTGGTTCAAAACCAGTGGTACTTTCTCTCCAACCATACGCACAAGCATCTAACTTATTACCTAACCACATTTATAATTCATACTAAACCCGAAGAACATTCTGTTTGGCTGCACCTTCAGTTTCTAGATGAGGAGTGGCAGAGTTTCTAGTTTAAAAGATGATTTACCGATATTTCTGTTGAATTGTAAGTATCTTAAATCATTTAAAGAAACTGTATATATAATTAATTATTCATTCGATAGTTTTAAATGTTACTTAAAATTTTCAATCAAAAAGTAATTAAATACGTTTAGTTAAAACTTTTTTGCTCAAAATACACAAAATATTTTACTCAAAGAAGTATAAGTATATTGCTTTCTAAAGCCACTACATTGAGACTGACGAAATTTCGGAGAGTGGAGCTGAAACAGTTTCCCCTCGCTTTCCTTTGTCGATCTTTGGAAAGTACCTTCGTTTCTAAAGGCTGTAAGTTCCGAAAAATTAGATGAATTTCATAGCTATGTCTCAATATAAAGTTATAGAGTTAAAGATTTTTGTTCAAAATTTGTGTAAATTTTACTTTTTAATGTTTATAAACAATGGAGATATGATTTTTTTTAAATAGTCGCTAACTTCGGTCCTATTGGTCATAGGTTTTTTTTAAATAAATGGGAGTTTTTTAACAGCTATCCAATGGTTGTACATACACGTATGTACATTGAAAAATATAGACAAAAATATATACAATTATTTATAAGTAAAAAACATACTCCTTTTTCAAACGTTTCAAAAGTCATAAAAAAACCTATGAAATTTGCTAAATGTGTCTAAAGTCATTCATAGGGCAAGTTCAATAGTTTAAATAATTAGCCTCAGGGATAAATAAATTTTAAACTATTTGACCGATCGGGGGGAAATTTCGCACACATTTAAAATACGTTAATTCCTCAATGTTCAAATGTATTAATAACATTTTATTTTGTTAATAAAAAAATTAATAAATTAGTGCAAAAAACTGCTTTTTTGCAAATATATCCGTAAATTATTTATCAATTTTAATTTAAAAAACGGGAAAATAAAGATATTATTGATATTAAAAAGTAATATAAATATTGTTTATGTAAAATATAAGAGAAAAAACTTATAGACAAAAATAAAATTGTGACCATAAATTAATTGTTTAAAAAAGACCCAAAGTAAAATTACGAGAACCTTTTCATATATTCGTCATCTAGTAACCCCCAAAAAAATTTTGCCGTGAAATCAATGATTTTTGCATAACCAGACTCTGCTATAAGATGTAAATTGGACCTGGAAGGTCCGATAATAGAACAAGAGATGGAGTTTAAATATCTAAGCGTCACATTATCTAACTACGGAAAGCTCGAGACTGAACTGGAAGATCAAGTGAATAGAGCAAACAGAGCAGCAGGCTGCCTGATGGAAACAATATGGAGAAATAAAAATATCGAGGAAGAATTTACAAAACATTCATCAGACCAATAATGACATACGCGGCAGAACACGACCTGACACAGAGAGGACAAAAAGGATATTAGAAATAAGATAGTTGAAAACAATTAGAAACATTGATGACAAGACACTATGGGACAGAGCTACAAGTACAGATATACGACGTAGATGCAAGGTGGAAAACATCAAGAACTTGGTAAGAAATAGAAGAGTAAAATGGAACAATCATATAAGCCAAATGACAACAAATAGAGTAGTAAAGACTGCAATAGACGGTTCCCC